TGGATAATGAATCGGAGTTTATGTTGGCCCTGTAGCCCGCGGGAAAGACAGGCCGCGCCAATCCATCGGCATCTCTCGTGGCTCTCCAATATAGAAATACACCTATCACCTGCGCACGTGCTGTATTCTTCGCTCCATCTCCTTGGTGCACGCCCACTGCCAACTCACTCCATTCCAGACCTGACACTCCATCATTATTCTTCACCATCGGCCATCATCTCGCGACATCAACTCCCTAAATTACTTTTCTTAATAGTTTGGACGATGTTGTTAACCTACGTATATCCTCCAATCCACGTTCCTTTTTTCGTCTCGGTGCAATTCCAAGCATGACTTTGCCCACGCTCTTTTTCGTTCAAATTTTAGGTGTTTGTTCTATTTTATAAATGACCACAGTTTTTAGCCACACGTGTCACAGCAGGTAACAAATGATCGCTAAAATAATGAAATACTTCTCAGCACAAATCAACGTTGGAAAGCATTTCCGAACGACGCATGCACACGCGTGGTTTCTGTCATGGCGAGTCACCGCACGGATGTCCCTGCGCGTTGTGCTGCCTCTGTGCCACGTCTCCTCCTCCCTTCCCCCTCTCCCCGCCCGGGTCCACGGGGCGCAAGGCCCCTCCCCGTGCCAGGTGAGCGTCCGTCGCGCCGTGCGGGCATCAACACCGGGAAGCCCCCCTCCTCAGTGCGACCGCGACGAGCAGCGTGTCCTGGCCACCCAGTGCCAGCTCATCGGCACCGCTGGCCGCTCCACGCTCAGCCTCCTTGACGCCTTCAGCATGTAAGAGCCGCGGGGGGAGGGTGGGGGGTGGTAGGGTTTCCCCCTGTCCTGGTTTTCCCATAAATTCAAAATATTCGTCAATAACGCCAGACTAAAGGTTCGTCGTGCATCACGTCGGTCAGTAACAACTCGAGCACAGGGTTTCCGCGTCATCTACGTGCGTCTCTGCCAATTCGTTGGACATAACGTCAGAGGCACAGCTCTGGTACCGCAGTGGAAAAATAACCCAACGCCAAGACAGCCTGGCGTGGCTCGGATATGCCAATGGAAAAGGAGCAATTACTCTAATAGTAATGCATCCCTAAAAGCTGCCCTTTTAAATGATCACAGTATGGGGGGGGGGGGGGGGGGGGGGGGGGGTGATTTTAGATGTTAATGAGCTACTTTTTGTAAATGGTAGCAAGTACCCTTATTAGCGGGAGTTGATGGGTTTGTCCGCATGGAAGTTTTTGCCCGGCTTGTTGTTGTGAGACGCTAACGAGACAGACTATTCACAAAAGAGCCACGGCACTTGTAGATTTGTTTTAAATAAGCCTCCTGCTCTGTACAAACATTAAATGGGCACGAGCCGCCTTCCCACTGTTTCCTGCGCGTTAAAACAATTTACCGTGGGAGAGCAAGGATATTTAAACGTGAGAGGCGCTGAAATATCACAGCTCCCCCAGACATGGTGCAAATTGTGTATCTCTTACGAGTTGCACAGCAGAGACACATCAGCCGTAAATTTCACATTGCAATCGTCACACGTTTTTATTCCCCACAGAGTTCAATTAAGTAATGCCATACCTTCGAGGCGCATAATTTTTTCCGTGAGTGTGCGTGTCTGCATATATGCGCACGTGTCCACCGCTCTCACAGTCGGTACACAAGCGGAGGGTAACAGTCGGTACACAAGCGGAGGGTAACACTTGGCCAATCTCCGAGCCAACTGGGCACCTCACAGCCACATACCTACAGCACGTGGTGAGTGCTGGCTATCGCTTGTCCAAGCTAACCACGCTCAACCCCGCTTAGCTTCCAAAGTCCAACGAGCTCAGCTACACTCAGGGGTTCTCTTTTTTTTCCCCTCGGTATTAAAATCAAGCTAATAACATTTTTGCTTAAACATTTGGCGCCTTTCCGGCAAAAAATCTGCCGCTCAAAAGGCCCTCATCACACCCGTAATATATAAAAGTAGATGATTTAGATGATTTGAAATAGATTATTATATTATTTGTTACCCTAGCTATTACTAAAGCTACTCGTGCAAGACAAGTCGTTGACCAACTTACATCTAATTAAAATTATACAGATAAAATGTCAACATTTAAAATAAATTTACACTTGTGATAAATTCACACATTGCGTAAATTATGCGAAAACAATTTGTACTCGCCGTGTAGAAGATGACGCCGTACATTATGGCCACGATTGTTGAATCCAGGCTTGGGCCAGGATTCACGATGGCGCTGATCCCAGGGGGTGTACGCATTGCACTTGGTTAGTCACGCGCACTGGAGGGCAAGCCCGTTGCTTTTCATTTGAAATTTAAATGAGATCGCTCCTTCCGCCTCGGTGACATTTTCCTTTCACACTTAAGAGGTGCGGTGGCAGTGTTTTTAATTAATTGGTAACCCATGTGTAATAATGGGAAATAAAACATGTATTTTGTCTGTCAGCGTACGAGTAGTCAGTGCTTTGTTTCAACCGGAATATAGTCCACCGATTATCCCGCATCTCATTTTTATTAACCTTGTTTTAGAGGATAACGGGAAAATCTGGTACAAAAATATAGAAATATTTTGGATAGACACACCTTGTACTCTCGTGGTAGTGTCTTACGTTGATAATCACAATGCCAACAAGCCAGCCTACCTAGCAGCATTCTGTAAAATCTTGAGTGAGAAATTAAGCGCTGCGTATATGCTGTCGCTAAGTAAACCTGGGGAAATCGGTGCTGTGTGTGAATGGAGAGCAAACAGCAAGACACGCAATGTAGCAGTGCCAAACAAAGTGTGCCTTTCGGGACAGTTTCATGTCTCATGGAATTCTTCCAAGGTAGGCACACGGCCAGGGGTAGGAAAGAGAGAGAGATGTAAAGAGCAATACTGACGAGTAGCAGATATAGCAGGGGCAGCATGAGAGAGGGTGACATTACACCGCAGAGAACTCAGCTGCATTGCATGGGCTGGCCGCTATTTACTGACAATGTACAGCCCTTTGTCGATGCACTGCTGGATGGAGGCCTCCCAACACAGTGTCGATCGCGATGGCTGCATGACCACACTTCACCACGATGGTCTATTGCTCAATACGGGTTGGGGAGGTGGGAGGTCCAAGACTAGTTCAGATGTCTCTCGCCACTGATGTTAGCCGTGGCCAGGAATCTAACTCAGGTGGCCAGGTTCATAGCGCAATGCGCTAACCATTGCACTGCTGCTTCATTCAAGTTGATTATCTTTTACGTGATAACATTTATTTTCATTATTAAATAGAGTCTGTAAATCAGGGGTGGAGAACGTCCGGCCCGCAGGCCGTATAAGGCACCGCGAATTCATTTGGTCTGTGCTAAGGCAACCGCAGGCGGGACTCGAAATTCAATAAATCTAGGAGCAAACCTGGAAAAGTAGTTGCGAGTAGCAACGTCATCAATACTAGCTAACAGCACACGCCTCGCGAAAGAGAAGCAGTTCCAGCCATTACATTAGGGGTGAGTTCATTAAATGTTTGACCAAATATAACATGCTAATTTTTCAGTTGAAAATTTTGTATGGCCCGCGAATGATGTTATAGATATCAAAATGGCCCTTGGCAGAAAAAAGGTTCCCCGCCCCTGCTCTAAATGCAAGTGATAAATACACATAAGTGTTTACGTATGCATGTTGGACTCCTTTTGCACCGGACGTAGCCAACCATGCTAATCGGAGGTGTGGGGCTTTTTAATGGGTGACTTGCTTTGTCCAGCAACCCCTTTTAAACAATGGCAGCTTATCGAGGGAGGCAGTGGCCTCTTCGCCCCGCCATTGCGTGAGTTGTGGCCCCTGCCTCTAGGTCTTCGTGCGGACGTTCCGCCAGCACTCCGCCGTTGATCACGCAGGGCAGGCGCGACCCGCTGTTGCTCACCTCCCATCCGCAGGCACCCCGAGGCGTTCCGGTCGCTGGCGGAGTTCCGCGCGCGGCTGCCCGGCGTGCACGCGTACTGCTACTGCGCCGACCCTCAGGGACGCGAGCTGCCAGAAACAGGTGACCGCGGCGTTCGTTCGTTTACTTCTCCGTACCGTTGTCGGGTCGTGCCGGGCATTGTTTTGCACGATGTCCGACGTTTCACTCCACGTGCCGTTAAACCTTCTTCAGGGACTGAGTCGGCTGCCTGTGCTGGGTTCTTCTTCACTTCCCCTGAGCATTGTTCTCTCTCGAATATCTCCCCGTTTTGTTCGTGGCGTATTTCTCAGGACATGGTTTAAATCATGAAGTAGTGGGTTCGGTATTGGGCAAAACACGGCACGAGAAGGGATGAAGGCCGATGGGAGTTTCTTCACGTCCTGGAGAAGCTCCCAGCATACGGAGCGAAACGTCGGACATCGTGCTAAAAAACGCGCGGCACGACCTGAAAACGAATTGGAGAGCGGTGCAGCACTACGGCAAAAACCTGTGCAGGAGAACATTCATGTTCGCCAAGCTTTAGCGTGGATCAGAGCTTTGAACCAAGGGATTACGCTTCCCAGCGTATGAGGTACTTTAGAGTTTGAACCGCTCTCATCTCCTTGATATTGTGTTTAAAGCACAATGTATTAACAAAACGAGCCCACACCATCTGTCGGCTAGGGGGCGTCACACGGGGCAAGCAGAATCTGACAGCGGAATGTACAACAAAAAATACAGTCACCACCAACATACTCCTGTGTAGCATAGTGGGGAGTCGTGGCCGAGTAGTTAGGGCACTGCTCTGCAAATACAGCGACATTGAGTTCGATTCCCGGTCACGTTTGAGATCAGTGGCGAGGGATGTGTGAAATGGATCTGCACTCCCTCTCACTTCACAAACCTGCACTGACCAGGGTGGTGAAGTATGCTCAAACAACCCCTCATGTCAGATGCTGTTTGGGGAGGTCTTATTCCAGCAGTCGATTGACAAAGGCTGTATAAAAAAAATGCTTTGTTATTTTCATTATATGTTAGCCAGAATTCTTGGATATAACAATGGTACATCACACATAGCAAACAATACAACTTAAATTCTAACATTGCACGCCTTGTGTGATGTCCCGTTGCGTAACTCCCTCCTCACGTTACGCACCACGTGATCACCCCCACTCATCCCTCTCCTTCGCTGCTGTCCCATAATTAATAATCCCCAACCATGCCGGCGCTCTTCGTGACCTTTAATTTCCTCGCCAATTAATCCCGAGGGTGGGAGCAATTCGATATTCAGCAAATCACGGCAATCACTGATTTGTTCATTGCATTATTCATCGCACGCATCACGTGCACACCTGCCGCTTGACTCTGCAGTCGACTCGCAGTCCCATGTGATACGTTAGCTCCCTGGGAGCAACATTAATTTTTTAGTCGTCCTTTGTCAATCCCATGCTGGATGGAGGCCAGCCGTTTGCCGCTCGTTGCAGAGGTTCGTGGTTCGAAACTGGCGGGCGGCCCTGGTTATTACTGCGGTGTGTATTAACCATAGAATGCACGGTATCTGCTTCACAGTGGACATAAAAGATTGTCTGATGCCAATCGATACGAGTGGGCCATAGTGTGCCTGTCTCGTGGTTCGAATTGATTAATTTCTAAAAGTAACCTGCAAATGACTAAATTGAGATTACAGATAGCAGTCATCGGGGCCCTACTGGCAGACGAATGCCCGCCTGCAGGACAGGTTGCCGGGTCACATTGTGCCTATGTAGACAAACACCCCATTGATATTAATACATTCGGTAAAAAAAATGTTAATTTACGTGCATATCGGTATCGCCTCCAGGCATGGAGCTGCTTCCCCTGGGCGAGAAGGACGACGACGCAGCGGCACTCACGGCGCCGGCGCTCGCTCCCTCGGTGCAGGAGGCCCCCGTGTTCCGCTTGCTCCGCCGGCGATTCCTGGCGCTGCGGCTGCTTCTCTCTGGATCCTTCAGATGTGAGTAGGGGCCTTACGGTTGCTACCTTCTGTGTGTGCGTGGCAGCAATCGAATTGTAGCGAGGTCCGGAACCGCTGTATTGTGTTGACCTTCACTACGACATTCTGCACCTTAGGCTTGATAGACCTCGGCTGACTGAGAAACGTGTCTGGGTTGTGTCTGTGGAAATGGTGGCAAGATCCCAGGTGCCACTCGTGCAAATGTACACAATATTGCTCTCCTCGAATATTTATACCTGCAGGGTAAATAATGTGTTCCCACCATTGAGCATGTGTTCGAACCACACGTAGGATGAGGGTTAGAGCAAGTTACATTGGTTTGGAGAAAGGAAAAAAGGTGAAGACAAAAGTTCGAACCAAACTCATCGTAAAGGTTCAGCTCCGCAGTTGCTTGCTCACCCCACTGCTGGTGGAAGGGCCTCCTCGTGAGAGTGCTGCAGAGGGCCCCTCTCGAGAGGAGTTTTGGCCCACTCCTTCACGCTGACCGGATGCCACTTTACCCCACCAAACGCTACCTGCCGATGGACGATCTGTGTTGCATCCATTCTTATTGCTGGGTCGACAGAGGCGTTGCTGGGGTCGGCAGTTAAGGAACTTTCACCATTCTGTAAGCGATGTCAATCGCCTTGAATCAAAGTGCTCTATAAATATAAATGAGATTAGATTTCAACTACCGTGCCGGGATAGGTACGTACGGTACGGAAGAAGTTCAACATGCATACATACGATTGGTGACCTCTGGATTGCAAGTCCAGTGCGCCACTAACCGTAACACCACGTGAGCATCCAGCATTTAAACAATTATAATCATAAATGGCAATTCGATATCGAGAAGCCGTTTTGGGTGCGCGTTTTTTGCCTATGTGTTTTTCTAGCTTTTCTTATCGCCCTCTGTAACAAACGCGCCGCGAAGACGCAGAGTCGATGCTCTCTGTCTCTCGCGCCCTCCGCGCCCCTCCAGGCCCCACGGTGTGCGAGGTGGAACGCTCGCTGGCGGAGCGACTTGGCGGACGTGGGTTCGCGCCCGTGTGCTCCCAAGACGGGAGCTACATTCCCACGCAGTGCCACGGGCCCACGTGCTGGTGTGTGGACACTCGAGGGGACGAGGTTTTCGGCAGTAGGGTCCGAGACAGCGTCCCCAATTGCGGTACGGCTTCTCACGTGCTTCATGGAACGCAGCCGGCACGTGCCAGTGCCTCGGCGTTTCCGTGTACCGTCACACCTCGTCGCAACTCCGATTAACACGGTTGGCTACGTACAGTGCGAAATAAGTTCAACATACTTACACACAAGCCACCAACTTGTACGCAAATTTGTTGTTGCTTTCTATCAGATGATAAAAATATTTATATAGGCCTCCTCAAGAAGTATTCCTTCTACCTCTACACTAAGAACTGTATCAACTAAAAATTGGTCAGGAGCGGAGGACGTCACATCCACGACTCCCCCACACGCTGCAGATCAAGACGGCATCGGAATATTGTGAATTCATGGGTAACCTAGGACACAAATTCCGCATAATTTGAGTTAAATTGCACGGGATGTATTTTTTTTACTAAGATCATTCTATTGATCTTCAACTTTTTGTGATATTTTTTTCATTTAAATGCTATCAAAATTACTGTTCCTGCAATGGAGTAATGGTTGGCATATTGGACATCCAGAGGGCACCGGTTTGATCCCCCAGCAAGAGTCAATTATGCAAATGTCCTAAATCCCTTCCTGGCCTCTGTCCACCAAGCAGTATAAACAGATACATCACGGTTAGTTTTGATTGCACAATTTAACTTATGCAATCAAAACCAACGCATCTGTTACTTGTAAGATCACTAATTGTTATTATTATACTGCAGGTTCATCTTCGAGTCCATGCCAACTGGAAAGGCAGCTCGCCCTCTCCCATCTCTTCCTTGGCCCTTCCGCCCCGTTCATCGACGACCTCATCTCTGCCCTCCCGCGTGATGGCAGTGTCTCCTTCTCTGAGTCGCCATCTCAGGAGATGCAGCACGAGCTGTGGCTCCACTGGAGAGCCCTGAGGGAGCAGCTGCTTGACGGGGGACTCGGCGAAATCCTCTCGCAAGCCTCTCGCCTCTTCCCGGCGAGCGGCCAGGCCAGCCGCCTCCTCGGTGATCTCGTGGGGGGGATCTTCCACACACAGGAATTGGCCCTCACCGCAGCTGGTGCCAACGTTCAGCCGGGTCGCATTGCAGAGATGCTCTTCGGTGGCGGGTTTCTGAAGAACCTCAAGTTCTTCAATTTCACCAGCGCCGTTGGTGGCCGCGGCACGTTTAACTTCAGCAAGGTGTTTGGTCAGGTGGGGCTGACCGGCATGTACGACGGCGCAAACTTTGAGGAACTCGCTCGGCTCTTTGCCCCCGGCGAGGACTCATACCTCACCCGAGGCTCCTCCAACTTCTCGCGAGAATCCTTCAACTTTGACCAGTCGATCGACGACCCCTTCGCGCGTGCAACAAACCTGGAGCGGAACAGAAACGTCCTCGGATTTGTCGTCACGCTCCTCGAAGACGCACGTTTCTACGGCCTCGTCAGGGACATCACCCCTCTCATCGGGCTCAGCGGCGGGGACGTGGGGTTGAACGCGCTGACCTTCCTGCGCATGGCGGAGGAAGACCGACCGACGCAGAACGCCGCGGACGCCGCCGACGGCCCGCCGGCGTCGCGCCCGTTCGTGGCGCGGTGCGGCGAGGACGGGGGCGCCTACGAGCCGGTGCAGTGCCACGGCGCCGCCTGCTGGTGCGTCGACGCGCACGGGAGGGAGATCGCGGGAACCCGCGCGGTCGGCGGCGCGCCGCCGCGGTGCCCGAGCGCGTGCGAGGGAGAGCGAGCGCGAGCGCTGCTGGCGCGGAGGGGCCGCCCGGTGGGGACGCCGCTGTTCGTGCCGGAGTGCGACGGCGCGGGAGACTACCGGCCCGTGCAGTGCTCCGGCGACCGCTGCTTCTGCGTCGGCGCTGGCGGAGCGGAGGTCCCCGGGACCGGGAGGCCGCTCGGCGACCCCGTGACGTGTGAGTCGTCCGCACGACGACGCCCCGCTCAGCGTCAAGTCTGACCTAAAGAGGAAAACGCGTGATATAATCGGGGACGTTTCGGCCAATGTACACGACTTCAGGGAAGTCGTGGACTGTAGACGCAACTGCGCACAATTTTGTGAGTCACTTATAACTGCTTTGCTGTTACTTATTGCCAATTATGGACTCAGACTATTGGCCTATCATCTCATAGAGTCCCTGGCACGTAATAATACGCTACACAGTGGCAGTGGGGGTCGCAAAATGCCGATTTATTACTAATAAACCCCAATGATCTGATCGAAATTAGGGATTTCGATCAGATCATTGGGGGGCACGTGCCACCCCCCTCCCCCCCCACTGGCTCCGCCAGTGCTCGCACATCCCCCTTCGCCGTCCACGACCGTGGCTCCGAGTTGGAAGGGATGATTTATGGCGCGAACGCAAGATGCCAAATCTGTCGAGCAGCTGCGCAGGGGACGCCCGGGCCTCTTCAAACCTCGTAAACGCAACCCCCAGAAGCACGGGCAGGCAGAGAGGATGCCACAGCCGCAGCTGCTGCTGCTGCTGCGGCTGTGGGGGGAATATGTCCCATCAGCGATTCAATTGAAAACCCAGGCTTTGTTTTTTTTGCAATTACTTGGAAATATGAAATATTGAATCCGGTGGACTTCGTGTGGGAATAAAAATATTCAAATATTTATTTATTATCTTACACAGCAGAGAATACTCTGAATTGGGCCACACAAGACAACGCATTCACACACGTGGTTCTCTCCTCTACCGGTATGGCGAGCCCCTCCTCTTTCCGTGTTGTGCACTGGTTTGTTTTCACCTCAGAGGGGTGGCAACCAAACGTGCAGTGCTCGAACCAGAGAGAATGAGGACCAACGACAACAACCTGGCCAGGTGGCTCAGCCCTAGAGCGAGCGCCTTGTAATCCCAAGGATGCAAGTTCAAATCTTTGTTGGGAGTTGACTCAGCCCATCATCCCTCCGGGGTCGATACAATTATTACTATGTGGGGAACTTAGCAGTGGTTGTCCTTTGAACCGACTGATGGCCCTCGCCATGGCAATGTGTAATTCCGACCGTTGCCACAGGGCTGCAAAGAGGAGCACCGCCGCAATGCCCATTTGAGCAGCCAATCACTTTAAAGTGAACGATCACGTAAACATTTTAATGACGACGAGACGGTCACGGCGATTGTCTCTGTCGCTCCCTTGTACCCCTTGCCACGCTCTTTCTCAGGCCCCACCCCTTGCCAGGCGGCCGCTGCCGGCGAGCTTCTGCAGCAGCTCCGTCACCTGGGCCCGGTGCTACGCGGCGACGCGCCGAGCTCCCTGCCGCCCCTCTACGTCCCACGGTGCGACGCGCGAGGCGGGTGGCGTCCGGTGCAGTGCGATGGCGCCGGCCAACAGATCCGGGAGTTTGTCGACGCGTGGACGAAGGACGAGGGGAACGCTTCCAAAGCCACGCTCTCCGACCTCAGGGAGCTCCTCGCGCGAGTTCGCGGCGCCGGTGGCGGCGGCGGCGGCGAGGGACTGCGAAGCTTCCTGAGCTTTCTCTACGACTCTGGCCGTCAGGACATGTTCCCCGAACTGTCGCTTTACCCATCGTTGCGGGGTCCGCCCGAAGTCTTAAACTTCTCCGGCTCTTCCGGCCGGTTTCTGCGAAACCCCGAGGTGGTCTGGAAGATCCTCACGGAGAACGCGTCCTTCGTGTATACCGGCGATTATGCCGAGTTCAGCGGCCGCTACGCCGACTTTGAGTCGCGGCTGTGCTGGTGCGTGGATGCCGCTGGCCACGAAATCGACGGTACCCGCACCGCCTCGCCAGGCCAGCTGCCAAAATGTAAGACACTGAACGTCACCTTTGGAAGTGTACCGTTAGGGCAATGCTCATGTCAGATGTACACGTCAGACACGTACGTTAAAGACGTGGGTAATCGTTTGTACATTCACGAGGGTGGCTTTTTACTTGGGCCTAGTGTAATGCAGACTGTAATTCAGACGTAAATAATGTGGCACCTTTACTGATGAGGGGAAAATGCCCACACCACGGTGTCAGACATACTCAGGTGGACTGACTTCTTCACTCATGCTGGGACGGTGGCAATGGTGTACCTGGCAAAACATTGATGTGCACCATCAAAAAGCCATATTTGATCAAAACTGTGAATAATTGCTTTCAGGGCGATGCTTCCTATTGATTTTTTGGATGATTTAGAAATTTTGAGTATGGAGGTTACCTAATTTGTGGAACTGCTCATTAAGAAATGCACACGCACAGTGTATCAATTCAATTCTCTTCACAGTAAAATTACCGGTCGACATGCTGATACTGCAATAAGCCTGGAAAATACACTTTCATTTTGAGATGCGTTTCGCGATCACACTTGATAGGACTCCACTACTTACCCGTTAAAGGAATTGGCCAAACATCCCAATATAGGACCGCAGAGCTTGGGCAATTGTTGACAGTGGCTATGGCTGTCGTTCTGCCTGCCTCCGGTTTCCCGCGCCTCCGTGAGAAATGTACGCATGGAAACAAAATGTCACCGCGTGTTTTGAGGCACGGTTCGCGTTCCGGTGACGCTATACGGACCGTGACGTGCCGATTCGCGTGCTCAGGTCCCGGCGCTTGCCACTTGGCGGCCGCGGACGTGAGCCGCTACCTGCAGCAGGCGGACCTGCTCATCGGCAGCGCCGGCGCCTCGTCGGCGGGCGAGGGCGTCGCGTTTGGCCGGGGCCTCGCGTTCACGGAGGACGAGCTGCTGGGCTCGCCTCTCGGCCTCGGGGACGTGAAGGGGGAGGTGGCGGCCGTCCTCGCCGGCGGCACGGGCTACGCCGTCCGACTGGCGGCGCAGGCCGGTGAGGCACGCGCACTCGTAGCCCGACCACTCGTAGCCCGGCCACTCGTAGCCCGGCCACTCGTAGCCCGGCCACTCGTAGCCCGGCCACTCGTAGCCCGGCCACTCGAAGCCCGACCACTCGTAGCCCGACCACTCGGGACGTGTGGTTGGAGGTGACTCTTTTTCGTCGCGGTTTTTTTTCCTTCCCGATTTTGCCAGGGTCGGCATCACGGGACGAATCGCTCGGGAGCCTTCGCAGCGTAGCTGAACCCCTACGTGTTGGAGGATGGCCCAATGGAAGCAGATATCAGATAACCACCTCTTCACATGTCCTCTAGCTCACACGAGTCCAGCACTCTCACACTTGCTGTGCATATAAGAGTAACGTTCATCCCAGATGGAATTTAGCCCAAATTAAATACAGAACCAAACTTACCATGATGGATTGAGACCAGCGATCCACTACACTTGAGGTTTATTCACAGGTGGCTGAAACCCAGATTCAAACCCAGGACCTCAGCGGTGCCTGCTCAGTACTTTGACCTCTGAACTCTCAGCCGCCCAGCCACTTCCTACTTCTTTTAATCACAATTGTTGAGCACAGGCCCTTATCGGCCATCAACAAACAGCACTATTAAAGGTGTCATGATTTCAATCTAATACATTGCTTGTATTGAGCAAGGTTATGATAACTTATGAAGAGAGAATCCCTAAGTGGGGCAATGACCCACAGTGTCATGGTTGAAGGCAGTATGGGTGAGACAAAACAGTGAATCTGGTAGTCCGAGTGATCAACATCGGTGAAGGAATGAAAGAGATCAAGGGAAGAGTAGCCATAAGGAGGCGACTGACCGCCAGTGAGCGAGCAACTGGAGTGAATCATAGACTCCTGCATCATCAATCAACGTGATCGTTTTCCGAGAAGTGGCCAGGGGTTGAGTGAACCGTGTCAACTTTCAGATCAGCAAAGTGAGGTTCTGCAGCAAGTAGGTTTCTCACCAATCTCTTCACAGCTAGAACGCAATCCCCTCTTATGCGTGGGGTTTTCTCCACGCACCACAGTTTCTTCCCATGCGGGACCATGTACAGCTGTGACTGTGCCAAACCGCCATATGTGACTGCCCGGCCAAATACTTTCCACATGGGATTTTATCTCTTTGAGATACAATTGTTTGCATTAACCAACATCTTTGGACAATAATTATTTAACAAATTTGGTAATATTTCTTCTGCAATGGTATTATGGTAAGGCACATCTGATCTAAATTCAATCTAACAATTGTTTGGGATGTGGGGTCGGTCGGCGGAAATGCCGAAGCAATGTGTGTGGAGAGCCGGGCTGAGTAACCGTGACGGAGTGAAGTGACGTGCAGCGGCAAGGCAATTCACGTCGGCACCAAAACAAAAGCGTGTGAGCACTTCCAGCATCAATCCGCCAGCTGATGGACACCCCTGCCAGGGCGCTGGCAGTAAGTTGAGGGCTCGCCTGCCACATGTCCCGTGACACGATGGTTTGTGCGTGGTGCAGACCCGCAGCGATGCGGGACCCTCGGTGGGGCGTGTGTGAGCACGCGAAATTGGGCCGCTGTTCAGAAGCACTCGCCAGTGAGCTCAGTGTTTCGCCAAGTTCATTTCGCATTCCCTTCCATTCCGCTAAAGCAGCACCCATGAGGAAACGTGCTTCCTGAAACGTGTATCTTCACCATCCGGCCAGGATCAATAAAACGAGTACCACATTGTAGATGGAGTCACCCCCATCGTACGATGACTGCGGAATTTACACCACTGGCTCAGGGTCGTACAAGGGAGAAAAAAAGTTTCCCGTCAACGCTTCCCGTCCTAATGTTTCCAGAAAATTTGTGAACAAACAGGTCAAAATCATCGTGAGAATTCCTACTCCAATGATTGAGGTGGTGCTCATCTCCTGTTTACACCCTGAGCTAAATTCCACATTCCTATGGCAGGTGGGAGTCTATCCATGGGACAACCACTGTTGACTTCCCCACAAAGTGGAACCCTCAAACCAGGATCTGAACTTGCAACCTTCCGACTGCGAGCTGCTCACTCTACGGCTGAGCCGCCTGTAATTAAAATTGTCACGCAGGAGGGCACCCGCCACCCTGCATGCGCACGCACGCACGCACGTACGCGTGGCGACGTCCGTGTTAGATGAACACGCGTGACGCTCGCGCGTTTCCGCTCGCTCCGCAGCAATGCATTTCCACTGGCGACGGCGTTTCTTCGGACCGGGCACCATCGGGGAGGGCGTCTTCAACGGCTTCGACCCGTACATGCCGCAGTGCACGGAGCCGGGTGGCTGGGAGCCGGCGCAGTGCGACAAGAGCTCCGGTACACTCGGCGCCGGGGACACGCGCCGGGGGAAACTCATCGCTGTACCACGCTTGTGCGATCCCACGTCTGTGCTCCCCCCGCCTTCGCCAAAGCCGCACCGACCCCCGTGGTGAAGTATGGTCAAACAATACCGCCGCCTCCTCAAATCGGCAGGCCGTGGGCGGGCCGTCGTCCGCCTCCGATTAGCACGGTTGGCTACGTACGGCGCGAAAGAAGTTCAACGTACATCCAGCAGTGGATTGACAAATGATTCGTATGCATACATCGCTCGTGATATAATCAAAGTGACGCATCGTGCTGTGTGCCGCTTGTGTATTTTTTTTCCCCGTTTTGTAACGGACTTTTTAAATCCCCACGTCCTTGCGGCTATTGTGGGAATGATTTGACCATACTTCACCACGCTGATCAGTGTGGGTTCAGTCGATGTGCACTCGTATGCAGTTGGCCAGTTTACAACCTGGCCCTGCGGTTCACGGCTCAATGGCCGTTGTTTCCTGCACGTGCAGATATATATATACACACACAAACACGTCTGGTTTTGTCATCCACCCGTTAATCTAATGACCATCGCAGCCGAGTTCAATATCAGGGCTCCTAAACAGCAAGCAGTCGTACGTCTCAGCAGGCCTCTTCCGGGATTCTGAGAAAAAAAATAATCTCCAATTTAATTCCCTTAACTCTAATCGTGCAGTGAATTTGGACCGTTGTGCGAGCGGGCGCAGGTTTCTGCTGGTGCGTGGACGCTGCCGGCGAGTTCGTCGCAGGCTCCCTCGTGGCCCGACCCAGGCGCCGGCCGCAGTGTGAGTCAGCGCCACGGCGTGCCGGCCCCGCTCAACCCGGGGAGGGGGCCAAACAAACACTTTTACACTTTCAAAAAAGGTTAAACGCCGGGCAGAATGGGTAACGGTGTAATCGCCAGGGTGGTGCTGCAGCAATTACAGTTGAGTAGCATAGCAAGAAGGACCTGGGTTCGATTCCCAACTCGGGTGCCTTTTTGTGTGGAGTTTTTACGTCCTCCTGTTCTGCATGGATTTTCAGATTCAGAATTTTTATTTATCCCTGGAGAAATCCGCTGAGCTCTAAAGCTCTTCTTTCACATTAGGGGAGGGTCAGAAAGTTACAACACGATAGGAGTGAGCAGTATAGGAAAGGTAAGAAAATCACAAAAAAATATATAAAACGGAACTATTTTAATTTTACCAGGTGAAGCCCACTGAGCTATTTAGCTGCTTTTTCATTAGCGATCTGGCCACAATATGATAGCTCAATGAAGTGGGCCGATGTTCACATGGCTCCTCTGCACAGGGCTTTGCAAGCTCATCCTACAATGAGGTGTTCAGCATCATACTCTTGTACACTCTTGTACACTGGGTGGTCATGTCTCTGTCTATCTTTGACAAAGACCATCTCACCTTTCCTAACTCCACTTCTGAGATTGCGTTGGCAATCGTGCACGCGCGTATATAGGAAAACAATTGCCACATCGATCAATAATAGTGGCCTTGAAAGAAAATATTTATAATCGGAAACATTTTTTGGCAATAGCAGTTCATCACAGCAGGTTAAAATTATACATATTTTTGGTACTTTCTGCATGTAACTTTGGTGTAGCTTTTCCCTTCATGTAAAATAAATAAAAAGCTCTAATTTAGCTGTCGAGAGCGTTCCTGGCTAAAATGTGTCCACTGATAAACTAACACGGTCGCGTGACTTATTTGACGCGTCCAGGCGCCACACCGTGCCAGAGAGCCCGTGCCGAGGCTCTTCTCACCGGCTGGAAGAGTTTGGGCTCCGTGGAAAACGGCAGCTCCATCGAAGTCCTCACCAAACACACGCCGGCCTGCACCCCGGTGAGGCCTCGCACCGCCCCGGGCGCTGTCTGCGTTGTTATCGTGAGCCCCGAAGCAAGGTTCTTTGTGGGCGAGCTTGGCCGTTTGTGAACTCGACCGCAGTGACGTGGCCGAGCCGTAAGCACGTTTGCTGTTCGTTGCAGAGGCTCGCGGTGCAATCTCCGCGGTCGCGCGTGCCGGCGTATTTGGAAAATTGACACCGCAAATTGATCAACTGGGAAAACACAAAGCAATCATTGCCCCTACTGTGACACTATTGCAGACTTTGTGACATTTAGCTCCTCGCGCGACGATAATGTTGCAAGTAATACCGAACGTGCTAACGAGTTGATTTGGCGCGGGGTGGCCTTCCCTATGACCACTGTGAGGCTTCACACGTTCGGAAAAACGGTGCATATTCATGGCCTATGTAACGCTACGAAATATGTTGCTTTAGCGGTAGGTTTCAAGCCGCACAGCGAGCCGACGTGACGGAGGGCGAGACGCGTGGCCTTGTGAGACTAAGTCACATGCGGGGGCTGTTGGGAGATGTGGGGGGGGGAGGTCCTCGCTTTGTAAATTCAATTCCCTCCCCTTCACTCTTTCACCACCGCCAATGCCCAGTGCCTGCCAAACACCCGGTTGCAATTCACCTTGGTTATTCTGATTCTCATTTTTTAAAATGTGATACTCATTGTAAAGACCAATTACAGTCGAAACGACCTTCTGTTTATGTGCTATGAAGATGAGCCATTGCCTGAAACGTCGCATAATATAGTTTTTGTTTTCTTTGAAGGTAGTGGAATTGATGAATGTGGTGATATTCGTAAATAACACATCATCGTGCTGCTGTCACACCCAATGGTTTCAAATGTGTGGCGGCCTTCAACACCGATGTCTTATCGGCGAAAGTGTCCCTCCCACCCCACTTAAAATGAGTGAAGAACACTGCCCTAAAGCCCCCCCCCCCACCCACTCCCGCATTCACCCGGGCCGTGCCGTCCCCGTGTCGCCAGGCGGGGGGGCAGTTCGAGGCGCGGCAGCGCGACTCCGAGTCCGGGCCGGAGCGGCGCTCGTGGTGCGTGGATCCCGCGAGCGGACAGCAGGTGGAGCCCCTGGGCAGGGACGACCCAAGCGGAGGCGCTCGCTGTGAGTCCGCTCGCACCCCACCACCACCACCCCCACCACCCAGGGGAACCCACGGCGCGCCGCGTGGCAGGCGACGGTGCGAGCCGGGCCCATCACCGGCTCACGCCGCTGCTGGGGGAAGGGCCGCCGAGAGAACGCACTGTCAGAGGGTGTGTTTTGGCCTACTCTTCCACGATGGCCAGACGTCTCGGGAAAGAGAGTGGAATTTCCCCACACTTTAACCCATCGCTCGTGACCCTGTAAAACTACTGGAGATCTTTTAAAAATAACTTTATAACTCATCGGATTCCTCTGGTATAAACACATTATTTTAAAATTCATAAAAATATTCTGACCCGCCCATCAACTAACTATGGTGTCACCCCATTTACACTGCTGGGAGGACAGATTGCGGCGGTTTAAACTTCTTTACCAGGAGATTCAAACCGGTGACCTCTGGATTGCAATTCCAGCAAGCTTACACTTTTACCATGGGCGCATCTCACGTAAATATATAATAACGTACGGCCCTTTGAAAATCCACTGCTGGAGGCCTCCCAATGATAGTCATGGTGGTTGTTGGACCATACTTCACCACGCTGCTCAGTGCGAGTCTGTGAAAAGCAATTGGAGGGACCAGACGCAGTTGAGATATCACTTGGCTCACATTTATTAGTCATGGCCTATGGCCAGGAAGTGAACTCAGGTCGCCTGCATCCAGTGCACCACCTCTCGCTGCACTCAATCTCAATGGTAAATTGACATCGTTATGTAATGGCGTGCTAGTGTCACGAATAACAATGCACTATTAATCGCATCCAGTCTGGACATCAGCTTGTTTTGACTGCTCTTTAAAAATAACCATGAGAAAAAATTACTTCTGTATAAATATCCTCCGATGTGCTTCATAAAATAAACAGCGGACTGCAGTACCCACACCGCGTGCGTCGAAAAAACAAGTACAGTTACACGGCCATCAAAACACGCGGAAATACACACGAAGCAGACACTGCACAATCGCGCCACGGCGTTCCAAACGGTGCTGGCCTTGAAGAAAATGTGTTGGAATGGTGCCCTGGCGGCAAAAGAATCTTGGGGGATATCGAGAGCGTGACGTTAGGCAGGTTCCTCTCATCTCTTCCTCAAGGTTCAGTCACTCACTCGGTGGCGGTCAGTGAGCTCTCCTTGCTACTCTTCTTTCGCTACGAACGTGGTTACCGCTTCGGTGAACTTCACTCGTTCATTCTTACACCCGTGTTGCGCATTGGGTTTCTCCAGACTGTTTGTGTCTCAACCATCACACTTTGTTCTACCACGACCACCAACACACTGCGGGTCACAACGCTGGCCATCGAACGAAGACAGTGGTCACTGCATCGCGCGCTTTCAGATGCGCTTCTGCGGCCGTTTGGAATCCTCTGCATTCCGATATTTTGTGTTGGCGGGGGGGGGGGGGGGGGGGGCAGGTGGAGAGGGGTGCTGGTGTAGGGGGGGGGGCTGATGGGGGGGGGTGGTGGAGGGGGGGGGCTGGTGGAGGGGGGGGGGCTGGTAGAGGGGGGGGTGGTGGAAAGGGGGAACTGGTGGTGGGGGGGGGGGCTGGTGGGCGGTTGACAAGGTTGCTTTTCCAGCTGCAGGCTTCTGCATTGAACATAAGCAACGCCGCCATCGTATTCGTACACTCCTACCCACCCTTCCCCCACCACCAATGCCGAAACCAAAGACAAGGATCCCCTGTGTAGCCATACAGACTGCTGGGGCAAGTGCCGTTTGTGAGAACCAATGAAGGTCGGCACGGCGTACAGTGCCGCCGAGCTAGATTCCATCACCAAATATAATCTCTCAATATCGACTTCATAATCATGAGCCACAACTTTGGCTACTATCGCCACAATCAGCACCACCGACACCTAAGCCCACAATTCCCCCCCCATAGCCCACACAGCCCACTGAGGCAAGTGTTGTTCGCGAACACTGATGAAGGCCGGCACGGCGCACGAAAGTAGCCAGCACCACGTCAGGCCACCTTCGTCTCCCCAGAGTGGCGACGATTGCACAGCGCAGCAGGCACCCATTTGAGGCCGAGTCGATCTAGGGTGGGCTCAGAAGTGGTAAACATCGCAACTCGCCCCGGCCGTGGCTCCCACCGCCGTGGAGCGCCGTGTGTGAGATCCTGAACCACGGATGCTCTGACCCCCCACTGCAGCCAGAGCCCTCTGGGGACACAGAACAGGATTTGCCGTGTTTGTAGGAGAGGAACTTAGCCATATATTTACAAAGAATCATTGTTTTATTGACCACAGATGGGCTTTGAAAGGTCTTGATGATATGCTTACGGGCACTTTTTGTATAACTTGACGAGGAATATTTGACTTGGCACGACGGGCCATTAAACTATCCCAAAAGTCTGCTTAGTACGTTGAGCAGGAGTCAAACAACGTCACTTCATTTCCGATGTTGCCTCGGTGAGGCTGAGCACATGTTCAGCAATCCGAGAGGATCCACCGTGACCCGTGGTGGACAAGGGCGTCCATGTGCCTGCTCATTCTGCCGTCTGCCAGCACACACGTCGCCGTTTCTCGTGCTCCCGAATTGATGGGGCATGCCGCACGTGTTTGCATCTCTGCGAACAAACACATCCAAGCTGCGATGCACGAGTGACTCACTGCTTTGCAAGCCCAGTTTCCATGTTAAATTGGCAGCTCGCTCGTTTTTGTATTTGAGGCTTCGTCTTGTATTCCAAACGCTTACCGGGCTCTTTCATTCGCTCAGTGGGAGGTCGCTCGTTCTCCTCTGCTGCCCTCAGAGTTTGAACTCCCTTGCCCCAGTAGCCCGTGCTGTTGACTCCCTGCCGCTGTTCAAGTCCTGCCTCAGGGCCTTTCGGCCGATGACTGGCTGCCTCTCTCGAGAAGCATAACTGTTCCCACTGTTCCTGTACAGCATTCTTGAGATGCTGTCACATTTAGAAGCTGCATTTATTGTATTGTATATTGTATCCTCCTCTTGTCATGTTAAGAAACCACCGCTACCATTATAGCAACGTGTATTCGTTGTATATTGCATACACGCATATAAAAAGGCAATTTCTTTCCCAAGCCACTGCTCACAGGTCGAGTACGAGGCCGACGTCGTGAACCGCCCAGCGGGTCCACCGCTCAGGTCGGGCCGGGTTAGCGTTGCCACGGCACCGATGTGCGATGAACTTACGGCCGTCCGATGTGCGTTTGGCTATTTGCCGCGTGCTGTTTGGGCACGATGTCCGACGTTCCGGTCCACGTGCCGGGGAGCTTCTTCCGGAAGCGACCGCTGCCGGCAACGCAGAGTGAAACGTCGGACATCACTCCGAACAACTCGCGGAACAACGCGCTGCACAGCGCGGCCGTGCGACGGGTCCCTTGGCCCACGCTGCGGAAGCGCTTCACGCAAACTCCGGACTCCCCCTTGTGGCTCTGCATTTGATGCCGTGAGCAGCCGTGGGAGCCTCTCTGGCCGCTCGACGGATTCCCGCGCTGCACCTCGGCGCTCCCTGCCCACGATTATTACCCCACTGGTGCAAGAATCGGCATCAACAAACCCCCGACAGCGGACCGCATCGAGAGCACGACGATACGCGGGTCGCCCGCTCCCCGCGGCGCTCGGAGTTTCGCACGTCCGTGCAACTCAACGGCGCGAAGGGAAGCGGCCTCGCTGGCAGAGTTTGGCCGCCGTGTGACGCGGTGCCAAGACGCGAATTCCGCTTCATTGTGCACTTTCTGGGAATAGCTGTGTCCGTGGCGATAAATGCCCTCTCGTGTGCGTGCGTGCGTGCGTGCGCCTGCTGCTGCCACGTTTCTCTGCTCCGCGCTTCCCTCCCCAGGCCCGAGCCTGTGCGAGCTGCGGCGGCGGCAAGCCCTGCTGCGCAACGCCGGGTTGGGATCGGTGCCCGAGTGCGATTCCCGCGGGGATTACGCGGCGCGGCAGTGCGCCGACGGGACGTGTTGGTGCGCCGGCGCCGGCGGAGAGGAGATCCCCGACACGCGGCGGCACGCCGGGGAGCCGGGCGTCGTCTGCCACGGTATCACCGGCTCCTCTCCCACGTCACCAGCACCCCCCCCCCCCCACGCCCCGCGCCCACCGCCCAGCCGTCCTGGCCTCGCCTTCTTGAGTGGGAGCGGTCCCACATTTGTTTTTTTGTTTTCCCGAAAAATATGAAGGAGTCCCGGTTTTTGTCACTTGATGTGTACAGCACTCACGGCGATGCATTTTCGTGGTGTTGTGAGGTATTCGCCTTCCCGTGATATGTCCCAAATACATGAGATGAGGTGAAAACCCTACTCTTACATCATCAAACCCCCGAATGGTGTCTCTTGCAGCTCATTAAAATAAAATAAAATAACTACACGTGTGAGTAAATAAACAAGCCCACCGATGACTTAGGATTGAAAGGATTTATAGCAATCCAGGCAATTATATACTGGTGAATATTTTTCTGATTTCCGTGAAATATATTTCCGCATATTAGACTAGCTATGAATGAACAAAGGAAGAAAACTCATTGCCTGCTGTGACGCGTGGTCAGGAAACATTGGTCATCAACAAACCAATTTCAACGTGATCTTAAAGTGTCCAGAGACGCGTGGGGGTGTGCACGCTCGGAGTTACATTGAGAGGCGAAGGGAAAACGTAGCGCACGCCAGAGACGTCACTCAAACTGCAGGGAGAAGTCAGTGGGCTTGGACGCGACGCGTCGCTCGCAGGGACGGTGCTCACCACTCGTGACCGAGCGGCAGCCGAGGAATGCGACTCGTCAAGAGAGGACGCCCACCGGGGAGATGGAGCGATGAAATCGGCTCGTATGCGCGTTCCCGGTGGATTATTATATCTCACAGGATTGTGAGAGATTGCGACAGTTGGAGGGAGGCCTTCATCCAGCAGCGGATTGAACTTGGCCGATTCTGACGATGAATACAAAACAAGCGTGATCTTAGTTGCTTGTAATTGTAAACTCTTGAGTTGATGGCTGGAAAGTGCGTGTAAATGTATCTGGCTTATGCTGGTGTCACGATCATTGATGAATGTGAATTTGCACTCTGACCACGCGAGCTTTGAAATCTGCAACGCTACCTGGTTGGAACTCCCACGCACCCAGGCAGCCGAACTCAAAGTTAACGTGGATCTCACGTTCTGCTCAAATGAGCCTTGAGGCATCGGTGCTCACATCCTGTTTACAGCTCTCAGACGGCCGTGGAAATTCCTCGTTCCTTTGACGGGGGAACGTCCATTCGTAGGACAACCACCACTGATTTCCCCAGTTGCGCACACAAAACTCTTGGAAATCGCAATGGCAATTTCAAACATTAACTTATTTATTTCACAAAAGTGCAAAGAATGTATTTTTCTACACAGATTTCATAACTTTTTCTGATATATGGTATTTATATCAGCAGGATCCTATATTATATTTCAAAAAAGGTCTTGCGGCCAGCATGTAAATAAACGTGTTCGTAGTTTTAAGCATTATGATCTATGGCTAAGTCATGTAAAAGTCACCTGGCAAGGTGCCAGGCAGCATTGCTGAACAAACGAAGCATCAATCACCGAGAGCCGCGTCGCCGCGCTGATTCTAAATCATCGCTCGTGGATTTGTTTCCACCCTTTTCCAGAGAGAGGACTTTTTGAGCGCCATGAGCAAAGGAATAAATATTATCATTAACGGTCTCCGTGGAAGCACATCACAAGTTCGCCCGGACCGTCGTTTGGGCTGCAACTATCCGTGTACGCACGTTCGAGATGTCTTCTTTGCTCGTTAACCACAGCACATTTCTAAGGGGAGGACCACCCAAGAGACCGTGGGTCCTTTAAAGTGCAATTCAGCACAATTTTTATAACGACAATGTGTACGCAAAACCAACGACACTGCCGGTTTGACATGTTTTTGTAAAAATCAATTAAGCAGTAGGGTTTGTGTGTCAGCCTAAATAGGGTTGTTACTATCTTGATTTGAAGCTTTCGTGACTGCAGGAATCCATACTCTTTGGTTCTTTCGGTAAAGTCACGTGGGTAGAAAGATAACTAATAGATCACGACGTTTCGATCGCAACACAAGCAAAGAAACTTATCTTTTATTTTTCTTGCTGTGGTTGTCCCACCTGATGACGATTGCTTGTGTTGCGATCGAAACGTCGTGATCTGTTATTTTTCTACCGACGGTGACTTTACCGAAAGAACCAAAGAGTTGGGTCGTTACCGTACATTCCTGGAATGAAAATACACGAAAAAAAATCATCGTAAGATAAACTGATGCATTGAGCTGTCACTCACCATCCCACGTGACCCTGTCCCAGGGAACGATGGTGTTACCGTGCTTCACAATGTTCCCACGTTTGTGCTGCTTGCCTTGGCCGGCGTGCGCTGGCTGGCGTGATGGAGGACGGTCGACTAACCCCCTTGAACCTTGAACCCTTGGAGTGGCCCTCATCCAGCAGTGGATTAACAAACCGGCCGTCGCGTCACCTTTTGTACAATTATTAAACATCATCCCAGAATCATGGGACCTCCTGTGCCAGTGCCAAAATATGAGAATAGGTTTTTCCCCCTTTTATCTGGCAACAAAACAGGTGTGAAGTTGTTAAAAGACCAAACTGAAACCTTTTACAAGGAATCGTGTCTGCATTAACCGCAATACTTGTGGTCAAAATGCAAACAAACAAAAAACATACTCTGACAATATATGTATTATCTTTGCATTGTCTTTTTTTTGTGCTATAATGCCGAGGTAGGAAACATCCACGCCTAAATAATGGGCCCCTGTTCAACGAAAGAAAATTTTTGTACACAAACTCATGGGCATTATGTGGGAACGCATTATTTATTGCTTATGTCATTGCTAACGAAAGGACCTCCACTGGAGCGAGTACCAGAGAAGCCCTTTTATGGGGTGTTTGGCCTATGCTTCCACGCTGGCCAGAAGTATTGGAAGATGTGGGAGCACCCACACTGTACCCGAAACACAAACAACCTGACAATCGACTAACCGCGCTTGTACCCACTTACACTGCCCGGTGTACAGAGGCGAGATGGGGATTCAATGAGTTTGTTCGCGACCTCCCTGTGATTTAACATCTCTCCGTGACTTCATCGATTCTCTCTTCCTCCGCTCCGCGCTCTCTGCTCTCAGAGCCGCGGTGCGAGCTGCCCCAAGATGAGAGGCGTGCGGGACGGTGGGCCTTGGTGTGCGAGGATGGAACCGCCGCCACCGCCGCCACCGCCGCCGGGCTGCAGCGGTGCTTGCTAGCGTGCCTGCGTGGGTTTGCGCACACGCTGGACGGCGCCGGCCATGATGGTGGTGCGCCGCGAGAGTTCCAGTGTAACGCCACCAGCGGGGAGTGGATCGGGTCATCGCCACAGCCGGACGCTTGCCAGGGTAACCGCCGCCGCGGTCAATTACACGCTGGACCGCGCCCGGAACGTGCACAGAGATTAATGGCGGTTTCCGGCGGCTTGGATGTGTCTAAGGTTAAGCAAAGGGATTAATGTGAGCACTATCAGAGGAGGTAATTGAGCGGAAGGCTTTATTTTTCATCTGTCCACACCCCACTCATGCGCACTGACTTGAAGCTGCCATTTCTCAAGTGAAGAGCGCTTAACATCAATCAGTCACGTGCCCACTGTCTGTTATAAGGTTGGAAGTTGGCATCCTAGATTTTTTTTATCGCAGAGGCAAGCTGCAATCACATTTGTTCTTATTTCAGGCGATTACATGTTTCCGAAAGGAAATGCCGTGGCAACTGTTGGCCAGTAACGATTGCTGTCGACAATTGTCATAAAATTGTTCCAGTGGGTCAGAGAGTTGCCCAAACATGCCAATGTAGGACTACAGAGCTTGGGAAATTATCGGCACCAGTTCTGGCTGCTTTCCCTCTCATCTGTGGTTTTCCGCGCCTCTAAATCATTCTCTCTGTGAGAGTGAATGAAAACTGTACGTGTTACAAATTACAAATTATTATTATTATGGCCGTTATGCCTGACTCGCCCTCCCACCGTCTAACCCAGGGGTCAGTAGCTTGCCAGCTTGCAGCTCCACAGCCGCATGCTGCTTCTTCGTGACGTTATTCATCAAAGACCACCGTCTCGTATTCACGCGCGTCGCAGCTCTTGAATGATTGACTTTTTCTTTTTTACTGAATTCGAAAAAAGTGTCTCATTGCTTTGGTTGCCAACCCCCCCCCCCCCCCCCCCCCCCATCTTCACCCTCCCTCTCCCCGTCTAGAAATTCACCCATGGCAGGCGGTGCAGCTGAGCATCTCCTTCACGCTGCGCTTCCCAGAGGAGAAGATGTGCAACCCAGAATACGAGGGCCTCCTGGAATCCTTCAACTCCTTCCTGCTCGCAGACCTCACTGCCCGGGGCTTCTGCCACCTCTCCAATGGCGCGCAGGTACCAGCAGTGGGTCACCCACGCTACGGGATGGCGCGCATGTGCGCGGCCTGCCAACGTGCGGGCGCATGTATTTATGTAGTGCGACGGTGGGAAGCTGCCGTGATGTAACGCTTACCTCACTGGACCGGAGATAGCATCTCCACCACTTGCTCAAAATCCGCAGCCATCAAGCTACAGATCCTAAAGCCCTTGCGTTAATCTGGCCCTGCCTGTTCTCGTCATTGAAATATGGAATTTCCTCCACAGTTTCAGAACTACCGACAGCAATGAGCATCCCCTTACGAACTTAAGCAAACACCACCACTCAGCTTGACTTTTTTCCATCGAGAATTTAAAAAAATCAGATGTTTTTTTATTATTATTGTGCAATTGGGATCGTGTTATGAGACAAAATATTGAGTCAGATCTCTCACAGAGAAGTGCATCTCTCTCTGCTAGACAACAGCCCACGGAAGCGGATATCTCAGACCTACCACTGAGATCCCTTCGAGTGACCTCTGGTCCACAAAGCAGAGGGCAGCACTCAACCCCCCAGCTGGAGCTGACCACCACCTAGCGCCACCTGGCCAAACCGGAGCGATGGCTGTCGCCGAGTGCAATGATTGTCAGCACCTTTGCCACACGCGCCCACGTGCTTGCCCGCTCCGCTCTGCCCCGTGCGTGCGCGCGTGCAGTCGGCCCCAGGCGGAGGCTCCGACGCGGTGGCGGTGTGCGACGCCGCCTCCGTGCGGGTGCGGTGCCAGGACGCGCTGCGCCTCTTGGTGAACGTCACGTGGAGGAGCTCGCTCTCGAGACTGCCGGTCCAGAGCTACCCCGACCTGCACAACATCGGTCAGCGCTTGCTCATATACAGCGCACACACATATATCTGTCTGTGTCCTGGCCTGTTTACATGTATGTACGTATGCTTTGAACTTATTTCGCACCGTACGGACCCAACCGCCAACCGTGCTAATCAGAGGTACATAATCGTGCCTGGCGCTATGTTGCACATGGCCTGTAACCCAGCTCTGTGGTGGCAGTGAGAGTTGGTGGGTCGCACATTTGCTAAACTCCCTCCGTACCCATGGGCGTCGATGTCTCCATCTCATAGCTGAAGGCCAGGGCATGATGGCAGCACATCAGGTGGATTAGTTACCCTCTGAATTCCATCTGTACGGGGGTTGAGTATTATCCCCCCCCCCTCGCAATGTGTGGGTTTCCTCCGGGTACTCATCAAGTGAGAACATCGCAGGATCGTGAGAGATGATGAGTATGATGATCTGTGTGGTGGTGCAGTAGAGTAGTGGACACGCGTTGCACGTCCGTGCGCGCTGTGCAGCAGTGCAACGGTTAACGCGCTGCGAACCCAGCGGCCCGAGTTCGATTTCGGCTCACAGTCACAATTATCTAAACTTGTCCTGGGTCTCCCCTAGATCGAGTCAGCCTTAAATGAGTACCGAGTGCGGTGTGTTAGCATTGGCCAGGCATGGTGCTGGCCACCCACTCCCTCGTGTGCCACGTTGGTTTTCGTTAGGTGCACGCTAACAGCACTTTCCCAAAAAGTCTCGCTAAAGCTACGGGGGGGGATCTTTCTTTTTTGCCGCGCAGAGCGTGCGTTTGTGGCGCACGCGCAGCGCTTCGCGCAGCTGCTGGACGATCGCGGCTACCGCCTGGCGCTCAACGGCCGCGACTACTCCTCCGAGGGAGCTGCCCGCTTCCGCAAGGACGAGCTCTACGACACGTCGCCCGCGTTCCGCGTGGCTTGCGAGCCGGGCTATGTGCGCATCGCGCAAGGATGCGGTGGGTCGCGCAACCCTGGCGCAGAACGGACACGTCCCGTGAACATGAATCACGGACACGTCCCGTGAACATGACTCACGGACACGTCCCACGGACACGTCCCGTGACCACATCCAACTAACACATCCCATGCCCACGGGCAGTTACACAAATCGGCTAAGTACTTTTTAGACGCGTTGTGTATGTGGAAAAACCACGAGTGTTATTGCAAAGTGGTGGCTTGTCCTGAGTTTGAATCCCAGATGGTAAGTTGACTGAGCCCAGCTTTCCTCTGGTTTTGATCAAATAGATACCACTTTGTGGGGAAGTCAACAGTGGTTGTCCGAAGGTGAGCCTAACCCCCGCCTTCCCTGTGAGCCTGGATAGTGTTTGGATGGGTAACCAAAACCAAAACAAAATTAAGATTTCCACTGCAACGGAGCCTGACCCCCGCCGTGTCGTTCGCCGTGCAGCCGCGTGTCCCCGGGGCTCGCTGTGGAGAGACGGGGGCTGCGCGCTGTGCCCCGCCGATCATTACCAGGACGAGGCGGGGCAGACGGCCTGCACGCCGTGCCCCGCCGACACCGGCACCTTGACCGCCGGCGCCGCCGCCGCCTTCCAGTGTAGGTGCTGCACGTCGACCGCCCTACGGCGCTCCCACGGTTGGAACAGATGTCGTGCCTGCTTTACGTTTATTCACACTCTGCGGTTGGGGGACTTTTGGATTCTCTAACCGGGACTATTTTTTTTATGTATTTGTAAATATAACGAGGGTTTCTGAGCACAGGTCAAAAAGGCACAAAAACGCCGAGCAGCCAGCAACGAGCAGCACCGTTGAAGGTGTAATAGACGAACGCTGCCCCGCGCTCATTGGAGCAGGAAGACGCTTTGACATTTCAGATGGGAAACCGGCACTCGGAATCAGAATATTTATGTATGCTGGAGGAATCTAGTAAGCTATAAAGTTATTTTTCACAGATGTTCGGTAGGGTGAGTTGCGCAAACCCGAGCGGGGGACGTCTGTCTCCGCAGGCCGGACGCCGTGCGAGCGGGAGGCTCTGAGACGGGGGCAGCTGGGGGCTGGCGAGCGACTGGAGCTCTACTGCGACCCAGAGGGCCTCTACGAGGGAGAGAAGCCGGCCAAGGGAGGCCAGGATGAAGGTGAACACACCACTCGTGCCAAGCACGAACAACGCTCGCCACCAGGCCTGCGGAAACACCCGCTTCGCCCGGGGCGCGCCCGCGTGGCAGGAAGAGCTGCCGTGGGAGTGCGAGTCGACTACGGCTGCAGTAGTCGCGTAGCGGGTCAAGTCGTGGCCAACAACCTCGACCAGGTGTCCAACCAGGGCGGAGCCCCTACAAGTCAGCTCTAGCGCGAGGTGGGGGTACGTCCCTGAGTAGTGTTTGTCACCTCCTCTGAGTTCGGCTTCGTCTATGTATTGCATATGGGACATAGTAGCAGCATTGACCCGGGTAAGTACATGGATGGGAGACTTCCCCGAAATACCAAGTGTTCTTAGGTCGGTGTAAGGTGGTGAGGACAGTAGAGCAATGGATTATTAAATCTAGCTGTGCGAAGCTTTGAGTATTACCCCTTGGTACGTGTGGGTTTTCTCCCCTTACTCCGCTTTACTCCCACATAAAGCCAAAAACTCACGAATTGAATTTCGATTTAAAGCTTTCGTGACTGCAATGATTCATCTTCTTTGGTTCTTTCGGTAAAGTCACGTAGAATGAGAATAAAATAATAAATTGATAAAATAAAATAACACAATAATATTCTCACGACGTTTCGGCCACAACACAAGTGGCCTTCATCAGGTGAAGGGACGAGACTGTCTGGTACTGTCTCCACTCCAGCGCTGTTCTACCAGACAGTCTCGTCCCTTCACCTGATGAAGGCCGCTTGTGTTGTGACCGAAACGTCGTGAGAATATTATTGTGTTATTTTATTTTATCAATTTATTATTTTATTCTCATTCTACGTGACTTTACCGAAAGAACCAAAGAAGACTCACGAATTGAATAAGCCAAACATCCACACAGAAGATCCTCCTGCAATAGAGCCTTGAGACTCAGTGATACTTTCCTGAGTGAGTGGTAGTAGCGTAGCTGCCGAGAGCGCAGGCGGTGCAACTGCACCGCAGCCCCCAGGCCAGAGAGCACCAAATGCCGGGTTAGGAAGAGGGATGAAGCCAGCCAGGGTGCCCCATTTGTTAGCCTTGCACCAGGTGCCCATGCCAACCACGGCACTATTAAAGGTAATTATTCTGATTGGTCAAGTCAATCAATTGCGTGGACGTGCAGTACTGCGATCCCTCTCACCACAGCTCTGGCGTGCGTCGCGCAGTCCGCAGGATGTTTGAGGAGGTCCCATCGGAGGACCTGGTTCTCGGGGCCGTGGACGCAGTGGCGCTGAGAATTCGAACGGAGACAGGGCCTGTGCAGGAGGTGGAGCCGCGCTGTCTGCAAGGTGCGATCGCACACACGCACACACGCACACACGCACACACGTGTACGCACACGCACACACACACGTACGCACGCGCACACACGCACACACGCACACACACATGTACGCACACGCACACACGCACACACACACACGTACGCATGCGCACACACGCACACACACATGTATGCACACGCACACACGCACACACACACATGTACGCACACGCACATACGCACACACCACCCGTGGTGGATGCCAAACGGTCCACTCACCTTGGCTATTTCTGTTCTGGTTTTTAAATGTGATATACAAAATGTAAATCCAAATCAAAGTTAGCACAAACAAAACTTTTTTTATTTTGCCAGTTATATGCAATGATTAAATTTTATGTAACAAATTGTCTCTAGGATTGTTTTAGTTTTAATCGTGCTACACTATTACATTTAAACCATTATAAAAAAAATTTGATTTAAAGCTTTCGTGACTGCAGTGATTCATATTCTTGGTTCTTTCGGTAAAGTCACGTCGAAGGGAAACAATTAAATAATTAAATATATATAACAATAAAATTGTATTGTTTTATTTTAACATTATAAAAATCTTAAGTAATTTTAATAATAGGAATAGGTTTTACCCTTTTAACTGGCACAAAAACTGACACCTTTATTCAAGGCATCATGTTTGCAATCACCACAACACAAGCAGTCAAAATGCAAACAAAAAAGACAACTCTGATAATAATATGCATTGTCCTTGAATTTGATTGGTCCACACCCGAGACAGCTTTTCTTAGAGCCTAGTCTCCATTGGTGTTGGACCAGAAGACGCCAAAAGGCGTACAACTCAAAAACAGCGCACTATCAGAGTATTGAGGGCTCGGGGTGAGCATTAACATTATGAGACCTCCTGTTAATGCTCACCCCGAGCCCTCAATACTCTGATAGTGCGCTGTTTTTGAGTTGTACGCCTTTTGGCGTGTTCTGGTCCAACACCAATGGAGACTAGGCTCTAAGAAAAGCTGTCTCGGGTGTGGACCAATCAAATTCAAGGACAGTGCATATTATTATCAGAGTTGTCTTTTTTGTTTGCATTTTGACTGCTTGTGTTGTGGTCATTGCAAACATGATGCCTTGAATAAAGGTGTCAGTTTTTGTGCCAGTTAAAAGGGTAAAACCTATTCCTATATCTTGTTTCTGGCAAAGGAGGTCTCATAATTTTAATAATGTTACAATTTATGTCCTCCCCATTTTTACCAAACCACACACTGACCAGCGTGGTGAGGTATGGTTAAACAACACCAATGACCCACATTGGATTGACAACGGCGTAGTAGGAGTGCATTGTAGACCACAGTGACTGTTGCACTGACAAAAGCAATGTGTAGAGGTTGGTGCTGGTATCGCACACCCTTCCGAAGATCCCACTGGAATGTTTTTTGGGACTCTGCCCAGCGACTAGTTGGTGCCCGTTGCTTTGGATAAAATATTCGAGCTCCGTGAATTGCATCAATATCCCGTTGTTGTAAGAGTGTGATATTCAAGGGACATCATACGGAGTCGTGGTTAGATGAATTCGCATGCCTGGATATTTGCCTCCTTTACAACGTCGCCAAAAATATTATTAATAAAGAAGCTGCGTGTCGTGCCAAACGGAGAATATTTTTTCGTGTCTGTGCAAAAACTAATAAAAATATAAATGTCTGAATTTTAAAGGATTATAAAAGAGAGGATTTCGAAAATCCGTTTCTCAGCGAACGGTGATCTTGACGGTCACGAACCGGGATGACGTGTGTTTGTCGCGCTGTCGTGCGCACAGCGATACCGTCTCGTTCTCCCCCACAAACAGAACCCTGAAGTCAAATTGTTTCCAGTGGGGAAGGAAAGTATGATCTAACGTTGCCTGCGAAAATTGTAGTTGATGTAAGTGCATTAACCTCTTCAGCTTGCCACCTATTATTGACATTTACACATCTCAGCAACGGAGTTACTGAAGCAATTTCTGCTGGAGCAGAGAGTGCGGCAGGGCCATTAATCACTCTCCCATCTGGATGTGCAATGGATTTGCAAGGGTCATTCCAGTTCCAACTAATTATTCAGAATGTAGTTCGTTTGAGAACACACTTCATTTCACCTTTGACCAAGTCACCAAGAATGCACGCGATCTGCTCAGATCTCAGAAGCTAAGCAGGCTTGAACCTGGACAGTCCAGGGATGGGTGTCCACCATGCCCAACAGACTGGTGCATCGGACGTTGTGGGCAGCAGAAGGCAGTGCACAAATGCCCATTGTTGTTGTTCTGCATCCATCCGCACCTTTGCCATCTTGCGCTGACCAGCACGCTGAAGCACGATAAAACATCCCTAACGGCCCATGGGACGTAGGGAGGAGGAAGGCCTCATCTAGCAGTGGACTGATGGAGCGGCTGCACGTGGACGCCCAGTCACAGAATACACTCGCGTGCGTTTGGGAAGAAATTAAAAACTCGCGTGTCAACGTTCGCCATGTTCGGATGTCAAACTGATCGCTAATTCCGCTGAAAACTCAACCGCTCACAGAAAAATCAATATTGTTTTAAACGGAGCAGAAGTGGGTCGCCGGGTCGGCATGTGACTCCGTGCGTTTGTGGAAGCCGACGGGTTCACGCAAACGAATTGACAGACCGATCGTGTGGGGGGTGGGAGGAGGAGGAGGAGGTGGTGGCGATGACTCCGTAGCCTTCGTGCCGCCCCTCAGGGCCGTGGCGGCGGGGTAGAGCGAGGCCGCGCAGCCTCCGGGGAAGTTCCGTGGCTCACGGCCAACGACGAGCCGACGGCCCCCCCGGGGGCTCGTCGTTCCAGACAAGTGACACGGGCGACTTGCGTGGGAGTTCTCGCCGATCTAAGCGGAGTCTGCCAAACCGTGTTGATATTCACTCTGCGCAGCGCCGCATCACACTGGCGCGCTGCTTTACGTGGTTTGATGAGGTCTTGATGGTGCAGTGGTGTGCGTCAAAACAAATAATTTACGTGATACAATTGTACCTTGACACTGTACATGCGCTACACATGGATGAAATGTAATTGTTGCCAGATTTCTTTACATTGCACGAAGACAGCATACACACAAGAATAACCTAGATTTAGCTTTACAATAAAAAAAACATTCCTAAATTGAAAAAGCGAAGTGTGAGTTGACGTCTACGACGTGTACGTTGCCAGTGTACCACGACATTATCTCGCCGCACGGTGGCTAGGATAACTAAAAAAGTTGAAGTCTTTAGCCCGAATTTTATTCTGATTGTGTGGTCCGCGTCGTCGCTTGGGATGAAGAATCCCCAGTGCAGCCTTTCTTGTGAGGGAACGGCCTCACTGAATCGGTTTTTTATCACCAAGCGGTATCTGACATTCTTACAAGTGACCTCCGGTCCACACAGCAGGGAACAGCTCTGGTGTGGTTACTCTGCCACTGAGAGTAATTTCAGTGGAAGTGATAATTACCATTCTCAAGAGTTGGACATTTTTCATCCAACGAATTGCAGAGTCAGATTTAACGTGATATTTGTTTTCCGTAGTCATTGATGACTGGGCTGAGATCATCAACTCACACCACTTGAGAGTCTGGTTTAATCACAGGCAGCTGCCTGGGTTTGAACCCAGGTTCTCAGTGGGGCCCGCCAAGAGCTCCGACCTCCGAGCCACCCGGCCACCTCGCGGCTGACAGGTCTGAAGTGCGCGCGCGTGTGTCAGGATCGCGAGCAGGACGTGCGTGTGATCTCAATCGCTCCGTGTGCCCTTGTCTGTGTCTCTGGCAGAGTGCCTGAAGGAAGAGCGCTGCGACTTCTTTGTCTTCTCCACCCAGGGTGACGTCAGCTCCTGCCACTTCTACAACGGCTCGCGGGAAAGCTATCAGTGCGAGAAAGCGCCGGAGGTACGCAAGGAGCTTTTTTGGGAGCTTGCCGCTGGTCATTGGGTTGGAGGCAGTGGCGGCGTGAGGAATAAGAAAACCGAGCAAAAGTTTAGTGCCCAAATATCAGCTCAAATCCTAAATAACATAACAAGCAAATTAACATTAAGATTCCAATTAATCCCTATCTTCTCTATATTTGCTGTAAATCTCTTCATGTCACTGCGGGCCCCCAATAAAGCTAAACTAAACTTTTTTTAATTTTACCAGATAAGGCCCCACTGAGCTACGTAGCTCTTTTCAGAAGCGACCTGGCCACAAATAATAGCTCAACGAAATGGCTTATCACATGGAAATTTAGAGCAGCAAAATACGCTAAACGCATGTTTCTAAATGTGGAGGGGAACACCAGAGGACCCAGAGAAAAATCCACGCGACCACGGGGAGAACATAAACTGCAAATATACAGGCGAGGTAGTTAACATCTCGCAGCTGAGGGCCCCCGATAGGCCAGCACCCCACTGGTTTCACTCATGTGCATACCAAGCATCATAACCTGTCCCTGGGAACTTTACATAAGTTGTTTGTCTGGTGGCTCGAGCTGATAAATATTGTTTCCCCATGCTTCTCTGTGTGTGTTCTTGATTCCAGGATATTTGGCAATGAGAAATGCACATGCACAATATTTAGATTTGGCCAGCACATCTACAAAGCAGGTGCTAGCAACTGCAAAATATTTTCAGCAGTTGTATAGGCATGCACTAGGGTTCATCAGCAATGACAAATTGATTAACATTATTTTCATAATTCTGCACGCTTTATATTTTTGGCAGAGCCAGGCTTGCCATTGCTAAAAGCAGGTCCACAGCATGGCTAGTGTCAAGGCCATGGGTGCTTTGTCAGCGAGGTCTGTGGGATCCTGCCAAGCCGACTGTTTATCCTTTCCATTATTCTTGGCAGATACCAAGGCCAGACACGTATACACAGGAAGCATAATGCACTGCGCAAGGAGGAATTTTTGAGCTCTTTGATTTATTAAGATTGGTGTCGGCAGGGTGATGGCGCAGTGGCAACACTTGTGCCTCGCGCCAAGTATGACCTGGGTTCTATTCCTGACTCGAGTACCTTTTCTGTGAGGAGTTTGTGTACACCCCCCACCCGCTGTTTTCTCCCTGTTCTGCGCCGGTTTCCCTCAGTTTCCTCCTAAAACTAAATAAAATGTAACCGGTATTGACCAATCATCCCAATGTTGAAAAATAAATCCCCGCAAATGACTCAATTTGTATTACAGATGGCAACATTGGCCCCTGCTGCAAGAACCTTGGTCGCACCCTCCTGAGAAATAGTCCCGAGGCTTTCCTGGGTGCACGGGTGGAATACATCAAACAATAATAACAATAATAACAACAATACAAAATGGAGCTTCGTCCATTCCACAAAACCCACCAACCCAGTAAAAACAAAACCAAGCAAAGCACGTGGCAGAGCGTGTCTCACTCTAGGAGAAGAGTGCGCTTGGCATTTCGCTGTGCGTCGTATTTATTGTGGTCATTGCAATGTCCGTTGTTGATGCTTTGACATGAATGACCTTTCATCGGGAGATTGTTACACACATACGATCAAACGTCTCAGCTGTTAGTCACGAATAACTGTAAATAAATGCATGAGCACTTCACGTGTGATCAGTTGTTTACTTTATGGTCTGTTTGCATACCAGTTCTGCATGTAAGCTGTGCATTTATCCTTTTAAATACAATGCTTCGTTAGAGGTGTGTGCATATACTTTATGTACAAAAAAATATGAATGTATAGTTCTCGGTGAATCCACTGCTGTATGATGGTAAATCCACTGCTCCCCAATGCTGTATTAATCAAAGGGGTTTATTTGACCATACTTCACCACACTGGTTCATGCGACTGAGTGAAAGTGGATTCCCACTTCAGATATCTCTTGCCACTGATGTTAGACCTTGGCCTGGAATCAAACCCAGGTAACCAAGGTTTACAGCACAGTGCATGAATCACCGCACCACGTCCCTGAACAGACTGTTGTGACAAGTGCTGTTTGTGAGCACCCATGAAGGTTCGTCACGGCACACGAGGAGGTGGGTGGCCAGCATCAGTGGGGATATTTGTACACCCCTGCACCAAGTACTCATTTGAGGCTGAGTTGACCCAGGTGGAGGCCCAGGAGAGGTTCAGATATTCGTTGCTACTGTTATCGGTCGTGAGCGGGCATTGAACTCGGTTTGCCGAGTTTGTAGCGCAGTGCGCGAACCACTATCCCACCGCTCCCCACCCTGCGCACAATCGCACGTGCGATTTGTGATTTATCCGAGACATCTTTTCCCCCTCCCCCCCCCCATGCGCAGGCGCCTGGGTTCCTCGGGGACCCCGACTCGAGCTGGGTGGAGCGTCTCAGCTGCCGCCCGCGAGTGTCCCTCCCTCCCGGCTCCGTCTTCACCGTCTACAGGAAGAAGGGTAGGAGAGCGTCCCCTGAGCCCTCTCACCATGGCACACGGCGGATTTATCCTGTCTTGCATTCACCGCTCTTAAGGCCCAGGCCAAACCGCATACGTTCATAGTGACCAAGCAATGATACTGCGTAGGTGTCGGCTTCCATGTAAGCTCTGCGGTGTGCTTTTTAGGCTCCCGGCACGCGGAGCGAAACGTCGGACGTCGCGCCGAACCGCCCAGCGGCACGACCCGAACACACGTCGCTTACCGTGATAGAGCACGACCGCGAAAACCCACGGGGCGGCACTGGCAAGCGTGGGCTACCGGCTAACAGCGTGGCAGCACGGGGGAGACAGATCGATTTGTTTGTTACTCCGGACGTTTTTATTTCCACGCAGGCCACGAGCTGCCCTCGTGGGACGGCCAACTGTACCGCCCCACGGGCTTCGGGAACGCGGCGAGCGGCGCGTATCGGACACTGGCCCTGCCGGCCGGCACCACGACCCTGCCGGACGCGCACCTCTACTGCCGCTCGGCGTGCAGCGCACAGGCGTGCTGCGACGGCTTCCTGCTCAAGGAGCTGCCGCTCGACAACGGTGATGACCACGATTGCACACGCGAGCGTGAGGGCGGCTGACCGAGCCGGTCCCGTTCATCCATGGCGCGAACTCAGTCCCCGATTAAACTCCCTGGGGTTACCGCCACCCAATGAACAAAAACACCGGGAACTTGTCGAGGGAAGGAGAATATCTCGCAATGCCGGTCGAGCGGACAACTACGCGTACGTGCCTTGCCGTGAGCGGTGCATCGTTACGCAGCCGACAAAAACCGTGACCTTTAATGTCCCGGGAAAACTTCCGGACTCGCAGAATCACCGGGAAGGCCGCTGCCTCGACTAGACAGCGATCCTGAAACAGCCAAGACAGGTGGCGATGCTGCTCGGTACATTGACTCGGGGTGGGCGACACGATTCCCCACATCTCACGATGTTGTACTCCGTCGTCACAGAGGGATGCCAACGCGGTGTAATGTTTAGCGCACTGGACTTGCAATCCAGAGGGTATTCGGCCTACTCTTCCACGCTGGCTATGTGTCTTAGAAGAGGTGTGAGTACCCACGCTTTGCCCCATCGCACGCCACCTTTCCGATCGACTGATTGCGGTGTCCCCGTTTATGCTGCCGGGTGGAGAGGGAGGCGCCGGGAGATCGCAAGTCCCAGTGCGGTCACCATTGCACCGAGGCAACACGCCTTGATCAACTCGGCCAAGAAGCGGCAGAGCACACGCAGAGGCTCTCACAGCCCTGTGAGACCCGCAGGGGTCATACCCAGTGGCAGGCCCACATCGCCTGATCGTGAACTGAACTCCCTGCCAAAACCTCCTTGCAGTCCGTGCCCGTGTGGTGTGCTGGCACGGAGCACCCAGATTTGTGCCCTCGTGTGAAAGCGTGCCAGTGCTGCTGTGTGAGTGCGCGCACGCCCACCCGCATCTGTGTGTGTGGGTGTATGTACATGGGGAGTGCTGATGTGATCCGCTGCCGACTCTGTGACCTGGATTCAATTTACGGCCACTGCTAAAATTCGTGGCGGGTGATATCCAAACATGGAATTTCTACCATTGGCTCAGGCCTACAAACGGGAGATGGGCACTGCCTTCAATGCTTATTTGATCAAAACATTATTTTGACTTTACGTCCGCGTGTGTGCGTGTGCATGCATGTATGTGCAGCGGTGGGGAGCGGTCGTGCAGCGGTTAGCCCGCTGCGCTACAAAGTGCCGCGGTTAAATCACGGCCCCTTAGTGACGACCGGCGATGGTTGTTGTTGTTGTTGTTGTGTGCATGGGTGCGTGCATGCGTTTCCCTCGGCAGGTGTGCTCGTGTGCGCATTGCTCTCGGGCCCCACGGTGCTCACGTGCCGCGCGCCGTGGTGGCCGCGCACGGCGGACGAGTACGGCGACGGGGAGTGCTCCGGGCTGCGCGTGCACAAGCCCAGCCGCACCTTCGGCTTCAGCCTCGGCGGCGTCCACTACAACGCCAGTAATCCACCTTCCGCTGTCGCTTCTACCGCTGCTGCTGCTGCCGCCGCCAGCCAGGTTCCCGCGGCTACGCTGTGCGGCGCTCCGATGTGTTTTCCGGGGTTGTGCTGCGCGTCGTTCGCCGTGACGGCCTGCGCCGACGCTGCGCGTGCTGGGTGCTTCTTCGGGAAGTCGATATTCGGATCCTGACGAAGTTCTCGGAAACGTGGAGCCAAACGGTCGGACGTCCCGCCAAACAAAAAGACGGCGGAGAGCCGTGCTGATTGTAGGTGTCTGCAGTACAAAATTAATTTGCATTTTTACCATTAGTCCTTAATTGGCTCTTTTATTTTCTTTGGTTCTTTCGAAACGTCGTGAGAATATTATTGTGTTATTTTATTTTATCAATTTATTATTTTATTTTCATTCTACGTGACTTTACCGAAAGAACCAAAGAAGATGAATCCTTGCTGGCTCTTTTATTCTTTTGCCTGAATTTTGTGTAACCTTTTGGTCAAGCTGGCCCCATCTCAACAAATAAAAAAGATTAAATCATCTTCACGAGAGTGATAGTGCCCCCCACGCGTTACGCATGAACCGACGGCGCCAACGCATAAAAGTTCGCAACCTCGGTCAAAAAGCGTTACAGGCGCACCACGTGTCTCACGATGCACCAGCAGCCATGACCTCCGGGGGGACCAGGCTACCCAGTGGGACTTGACAAGCTGGACGAGGGAAGAACAACTCCAGACCACGCTGGTGCTTGCTTGCTTGCCGTCAGAATCTTCCCGTTCTCTTTGACGACGCTCGTGCCCGTGCCCCGCGCAGCGTTCAAAGACCTGGGAGCGTACGAGAAGGACGCCGGACTTCCCCGAGCCTCGGCCCGGCCCTCGAGCGGTCCACTGGAGGCTGGCTTCACGTTGGACCTGCAGCGTGGCGGGGCCCTCTTCAGCCAGATCTACCTTTGGGCAGGTGGGGATCGGCCACTGTGGGCACGCAACACCGGCGGGGCAACCTGACGTGGAGGCATTGGCCGTTGCCATTTGGGAGCCCAAAAAGAGTTTTGCTGCCCGTCAGCGACTTTGTCGCGGCGACGTTGTCGCGGCGACGTTGTCGCGGCGACGTTGTCGCGGCGACGTTGTCGCGGCGACTTTGTCGCGGCGACGTTGTCGCGGCGACTTTGTCGCGGCGACGTTGTCGCGGCGACGTTGTCGCGGCGACTTTGTCGCGGCGACGTTGTCGCGGCGACTTTGTCGCGGCGACGTTGTCGCGGCGACGTTGTCGCGGCGACGTTGTCGCGGCGACTTTGTCGCGGCGACGTTGTCGCGGCGACTTTGTCGCGGCGACGTTGTCGCGGCGACGTTGTCGCGGCGACGTTGTCGCGGCGACGTTGTCGCGGCGACGTTGTCGCGGCGACGTTGTCGCGGCGACGTTGTCGCGGCGACGTTGTCGCGGCGACGTTGTCGCGGCGACGTTGTCGCGGCGACGTTGTCGCGGCGACTTTGTCGCGGCGACGTTGTCGCGGCGACGTTGTCGCGGCGACGTTGTCGCGGCGACGTTGTCGCGGCGACGTTGTCGCGGCGACTTTGTCGCGGCGACGTTGTCGCGGCGACGTTGTCGCGGCGACGTTGTCGCGGCGACGTTGTCGCGGCGACTTTGTCGCGGCGACGTTGTCGCGGCGACTTTGTCGCGGCGACGTTGTCGCGGCGACTTTGTCGCGGCGACGTTGTCGCGGCGACGTTGTCGCGGCGACTTTGTCGCGGCGACGTTGTCGCGGCGACTTTGTCGCGGCGACGTTGTCGCGGCGACGTTGTCGCGGCGACGTTGTCGCGGCGACGTTGTCGCGGCGACGTTGTCGCGGCGACGTTGTCGCGGCGACGTTGTCGCGGCGACGTTGTCGCGGCGACGTTGTCGCGGCGACGTTGTCGCGGCGACTTTGTCGCGGCGACTTTGTCGCGGCGACGTTGTCGCGGCGACGTTGTCGCGGCGACGTTGTCGCGGCGACGTTGTCGCGGCGACTTTGTCGCGGCGACGTTGTCGCGGCGACGTTGTCGCGGCGACGTTGTCGCGGCGACGTTGTCGCGGCGACTTTGTCGCGGCGACTTTGTCGCGGCGACGTTGTCGCGGCGACGTTGTCGCGGCGACGTTGTCGCGGCGACGTTGTCGCGGCGACTTTGTCGCGGCGACGTTGTCGCGGCGACTTTGTCGCGGCGACGTTGTCGCGGCGACGTTGTCGCGGCGACGTTGTCGCGGCGACGTTGTCGCGGCGACGTTGTCGCGGCGACTTTGTCGCGGCGACGTTGTCGCGGCGACGTTGTCGCGGCGACGTTGTCGCGGCGACGTTGTCGCGGCGACGTTGTCGCGGCGACTTTGTCGCGGCGACGTTGTCGCGGCGACTTTGTCGCGGCGACGTTGTCGCGGCGACGTTGTCGCGGCGACGTTGTCGCGGCGACGTTGTCGCGGCGACTTTGTCGCGGCGACGTTGTCGTGGCGACGTTGTCGTGGCAACGTTGTCGCGGCGACTTTGTCGCGGCGACGTTGTCGCGGCGACGTTGTCGCGGCGACTTGGCTGCGTGGGGCAGCGTGGGGCAGCACATTGGAGAACCCCATAAAATTGTCTATGAAAAATGTATCAGAAAATATGAGGTCATATTTGTGTTGTTTTTTGTTATTGTAGGGACGCAACCACATTGTGTATCCAGTAGGAGACAGCGGTTGTGAACACTGTCAGAAGTCACTGTGTGATTGTATCCGTCAAGAATAGTGCATGTTCAGTGCCCACAAATACTTTCTATTTTGTCACCGTCCTGCCCTGCAAGCAATCTACGCCACTCGCTGAATTGGGACCGTCACGTTTTCTATCTATTTTCACGCCCGTGCATGTGTGTTCAACATGCATATTCGTGCCGAAGGTGTCGTTATAAACGTCCGACTGCGCTTTCGCCGCGGCTCGTGCAACGCTCGCCGCGCTTTCTCGAGCGGGCAGAGCGAGCGTCTGTCGCGGGGCGCCGCGGCTTGCGAGGAAGATGCACTGCACGCGACGGCTTTATTGCCTCGCGCGCTGATGCCGTCCCAAGACGTTGCCAGCGCGTTACTCATCGAGCTGAATTATCCCTCAATAGCGGCTTTACTTGCGAGCTGAGTGATCCGTGATGACGAAGCACATTTTAGCTCGCGCCGTGCAACGCGCTGTCCGAGTAACTGCCTCTCACGCGCCTTTATTTGAATTCCTGGTGGCTTGTTTTCTGTTGTTGTTGTAAAACGTGAGTAATTTATTTATTCTGCTCGTTTCTTGAGTGCTGCTACTGCTGCCGTGGTTGTAATGCTCGGCACGCCGGACTTGCAATCCAAAGGCCACCGGTTCAACCCCTGGGCACCCCTGGGCAACGATGCACGTTTCTTAAATCCCACCGCGTATGTTCACAATCGGTGGGGTAAAGTGTGGGTACTCCCACCTCTTCAAAGACGTCTGGGCAGCGTGAAAGAGTAGACTAAATAGTAGAGGCCCTTCTGCCAGCAGTGACGTGAGCAAGCAATTGCGCGGCTGCACCTTTCCGTTGTAGTTGTTAATTAGACACTGGCGATGCAATATGGGTATATCGACGGAGCGTACTCTCGTTTGTGTGCAGGCAGTGAAGCTGGGTCACGTGATGTCTGCTTACACACCAAGGCCTACACACCTCAGCCCGGGGAGCCGGCCGGAGAGGAGGAGGAGGATGTGTCTTACCACTCACCACAAGACGAGGGTTTGTATTCATGGAAATTATTGAACATGTCGTGATATCGAGTTTACCAACGGGGCAACCTAAAGTTGTGGTAAAATGGGGCAATTTTCCCTGGGCCTCCAGGGACCCCTGGCAGATCACAGTTGCTGGATGCGACGATCCATAAATGCTCAGCTTCCCTAACATCGCTGACAAGTAAACGTTATCTGTGGGGATTTTCACAATTTTGAATGTACAGCACGTGGAATGTCTTGCAGAAATAGCCGTGTGTCCACCCGTGAAGTCCCCACTACACAGCAGCACAGTGAGCTGGAGTGTGTTCGTAAAGTCCCCACTACACAGCAGCACAGAGAGCTGGAGTGTGTTCGTAAAGTCCCCACTGCACAGAGAGCTGGAGTGTGTTTGTAAAGTCCCCACAGCACAGTGAGCTGGAGTGTGTTTGTAAAGTCCCCACTGCACAGAGAGCTGGAATGTGTTCGTAAAGTCCCCACTGTGCAACACAGTGAGCTGGAGTGTGTTCGTAAAGTCCCCACTGTGCAGCAGCACAGTGAGCTGGAGTGTGTTCGTAAAGTTCCCACTGCACAGAGAGCTGGAGTGTGTTCGTAAAGTCCCCACTCAGCAGCACAGTGAGCTGGAGTGTGTTCGTAAAGTCCCCACAGCACAGAGAGCTGGAGTGTGTTCGTAAAGTCCCCACTGCACAGAGAGCTGGAGTGTGTTCGTAAAGTCCCCACTGCACAGTGAGCTGGAGTGTGTTCGTAAAGTCCCCACTGCACAGTGAGCTGGAGTGTGTTCGTAAAGTCCCCACAGCACAGAGAGCTGGAGTGTGTTCGTAAAGTCCCCACAGCACAGAGAGCTGGAGTGTGTTCGTAAAGTCCCCACTACACAGCAGCACAGTGAGCTGGAGTGTGTTCGTAAAGTCCCCACTGCACAGCACAGAGAGCTGGAGTGTGTTCGTAAAGTTCCCACTACACAGCAGCACAGAGAGCTGGAGTGTGTTCATAAAGTCCCCACTACACAGCACAGTGAGCTGGAGTGTGTTCGTAAAGTCCCCACTACACAGCACAGAGAGCTGGAGTGTGTTCGTAAAGTCCCCACTGCACAGAGAGCTGGAGTGTGTTCGTAAAGTCCCCACTGCACAGCGGCACAAATCTTCTGTTTACCGCGGTGAGCCACTGGTGGAAATTCCACGGTCCTATGGCAGGTGCGACTTCCCCCACAAAGTGGTACTCATCATATCGATTCCATCAAGGTTTTGAACTCGCAACCTTCAAAATTGTTTAGAGCACTCAAGAGACCAGGGGGAGGATGATTCTCATTCGCAAAACTGTCCTGGGTCACCAAAATGACAAAAGCAAAAACGTCAAAAACCAAAGCACAACAACGATGATGCAAATAAAAAAATAAAAACAATTGCGTGATAGAAGGGATCAAAAACAATGCAAAAAAACACAATCAACGTAATATAGAAATATTTCCCGAAACAAAAGTTTCTTTGGACAATTGAATTGTACTTAAAACATTAATGAGGTGTAAACTATAAGACGCAGAAACATCAACGTAGATTTCGGGTGATCATTGCACGGGTATGTCAACAGAAGAGGAAGCACGTCAAATACCCGTGGATTCCCTTGCCCCTGCCGTCCCGTTGGTCGCGAGCAGCCGATGTGTCGGGACGCTTCTCGACCCTGCGGCCGGAGGAGGTGACGCTGCAGCCAGAGATGCGCGTGGCGCAGCAGAACTTCTGGCTCTTCCGGAGGGCCTTCTCACCGCCGCAGCAGGCCACCTCGTGGTGCCTCAGAAGTAAGGCCGGCAAAAATACATTCACCAGCGGCATTGCCATCACCACCATCACTTCATGGTCATGCCACGCCTCCCATGCAGGGCTAGATCAATGTTGTGAGGGGCCTAAGGCTAATAGGAGGGAATGGCCCAAGCAGGGGCGGAGCCACAGGGGGGGCTGGGGGGGGGGGCTCAGCCCCCCCTGAAATTTTGGGAAAGTCGGTAATCGGGATAACCGGATATCCGGCTGCTGCAAAATGCTGCAGGCTGGCACCTTGTGCTGCCCTTCAGGCTGCCACCTCGTGCTGCCCTGCAGGCTGCCACCTCGTGCTGCCCTGCAGGCTGCCACCTTGTGCTGCCCTGCAGGCTGCCACCTCGTGCTGCCCTGCAGGCTGCTACCTCGTGCTGCCCTGCAGGCTGCCACCTCGTGCTGCCCTGCAGGCTGCCACCTCGTGCTGCCCTGCAGGCTGCCACCTCGTGCTGCCCTGCAGGCTGCCACCTTGTGCTGCCCTGCAGGCTGTCACCTTGTGCTGCTGCCCTGCAGGCTGCCACCTCGTGCTGCCCTGCAGGCTGACACCTCGTGCTGCCCTGCAGGCTGCCACCTTGTGCTGCCCTGCAGGCTGCTTGAGCGGCAGCCTTTCGAACTTATCGAACTTATTAGCCACATCAGCGTCTCCGACCTATTAATAAACTCCGTGTGCAAATCCAATAAAATTAGTTTTATACATTTGTGGCGCCCATTGGAAAACATACACTGGATATCTCAGAATATTGAAGTCAGCCCCCCCAAAGTCAAAATCCTGGCTCCGCCCCTGGGCCCAAGTATGTTTTACATATTGCAAAACAAATTATGAAGTCGTTAAACATATTTAGTTAAGTGCCGATGTCAAATTAACAATTGTATTCGACTCAAGGTAAAGTCATCAAACGTAACTCACTCACTACACTCATTACTTCCAACAATTGTTTTTCTTCCGAGCGTCAGCTGTGGCAAAGTCGTGAATGGCGTCATCGTGATTCAAAGACAAAAATGTTTGCGATGGCTGCGCTCCCATCGTTCTCAACGAAACTATTTAAACGATTACATTCAGCTGCTACTTCAATATGGAATGGAGGACCTAAGGGAGGGCATACAAAATCTGATGATTTTATTGGCCGAAGAGCAAATGTGGCCCTGCTCCCACACAGTAAATCTCCAGACTCCCTCCACGGTGGCAGCTGTCCCCATTCGGCACAAGGTGAACGCATCCCCTGCCAGCGAGTGCGCATGAGTCTGCCAGTGGGGCACGATGTTACGATGTGGGTTCCCAGTTCATAAATTTGCAAGTAATTTAGAACACAATATTTGGCCCGTGGCGCTGGCACACAAGACGGCCTACTCTTTATCGAACAGTAAAAGGCGTCGATGATAGAGCATTGCTAATGAGCGAAGCAGTGACTGTGGCTAAAGGAAGAGAACCCCGTTGTCACTCATGAGCTGACAGAAGGGACAGATTGATGATGATGATGATGTTGATGATTTTGATGATGTTGACTGATCAATATGTCACGCCACTCACGCTCGCTGAGTCTCCGTCGTCGCTCGACGCGTCCGCAGGGTGCCGGCGGGACGCGCTGTGCAAGGCCGCCGCGGTGGGAGACGGCCCGGCCGGCTGGCTCGAGTGCCTCCTCTACCCGGACACGCAGAGCTGCGGCACGAGCCAGGAGCTGCTGGAGCGGCCCGCGCGCGCGCCCTCCTGCGCCAGCCTGCTGCCCCGGATCGACGGGACGCTCTACCGGAAGCGAGGTGAGGCGGCTCGCACGATCTATGACGAGCGCAGGGACGGAGTTCCCGGCAACAGCGGACTACGCCGCTCACAGAGCGACGAAACGCGACCGCAACTCGAGACACTGTGCTCATGTTTGTTATTTACAGAGAGACAGGGGGGTGGGGGGTGGGGGCCGTCAGGCGAGAGGGAACAAAATGGAAGGTCTTGGGCCTGGCACGGCCGGGGGGAAGGGAGTTTCAGACCCTTTGGGGGCAGTAGAAGAGAATGAATGACCTCGCCCTGAGAGCTAAGGTTGACTGGGGGTTGTCGATGAGAGAGCCTTGGCTGCTGAAGGCGAGGGAAGGAGAGTGGGACGAGAGGGGGATAATTAAGCAAGGGATGGCCACCGTATTCTGGATATTGATGCCGGATTTGCTCAGGGCCATTGAAGGGATGGAGTCGGGTGGAGGTGTTGCTGCGACCGTTGTCTCCACGGTGACGATATGTACGAACGTGTATCACACCAGGCGGTTCAGATCAGTGTAAAACAATGATTGCTCTACCAGTCTTGTTCACATTTACCGGCGATTAAACCTATGTTTCTAGCGTCTGAGTCCGGTGCACCAACCCCACCCATAACAAAATCACGACAAGTCTGCGTGGAGCGCGGTCAAAACAAAGTCGGTAACACGACCAAAGCGCGGTTACATTTTGGTAGCGTATAGGAATGTTGCCGTCTGGCGTAACGGGGTATGTGCCGGGCATTTCCGTCAGCTGTGCACGGCCCCGGTCCCGCTCGGAGTGCGCCCGCGTCACGGCGCGCCGTGACGTCGCGCCGTGCACGTCACAAAGCACCTGCGTTTTATTTAGAAGTTTCAGAAAAGTTTCGGGTGTGAAAGAAATAATCCCCATAACTCTGCCGCGATTATTGTTCCATCTGCATCGTGTAATAAGGTTCTCTAAATGCTTGTTATTTTTTATGAACACCAAATTCTTGGCGATTACATAAATCAGGCCAGGGCTTAGCTGCAGACGTGTTTGGGAACTCAGCTGGCGCCGGTTCTTGCCGGCGTCTGTGCGAGGTTTTCCCTCCCTGTAAATATCCTGCTGAGCAACCGGGCATCCGTGCGCGGCCACGCGCAGCGCTCGCACGCGTGGGCTTCTTCAGGTGCTCCGGTTTCTTCCCGCACGTAACGCCGCAATGTATCGAGGATCGTAGAGCGTGGAGGTGCATTTGGCGCCGGTTCCTCACCACGTGGTTTGCCGCTGCCTTCCCCGCTCGTCTGTGGTTCTGAGTCGTCCTCTCTCTGTCTACGAGAGCGAGCGAATGCTGCGCGGCGGTGGTGCGTTACCGGTTGAGATTATTATTCATTGTTATGGATGAACAAATATATGTTTTGACGAATGAGAAGTGCTTTTGGAAAACTGAACTTGAGAATGAAAATCATACCGCCGTACCTGCTGCGACGTATGGATCAGAAAAATGGACAACGATGGATAAAATGTAACAAAAGCTGAGAAGTGCGTGATGAAATCAGCTCATGTGCAGTTGGTCTATGAATTGTTGATTTGGATTGATCACGGCTGCTGCGGATAATGAACAGAAGAACAATTAAGTCATAGCACGAAGCACAAAGGGAATAATGTCATTTACGGGCAGGGTATTGCGCAGGCACATTGCACCCGTAGGGCTAATCACAACCAGCGCTGCACACACGCACGCATACACACATCCTTTCCTTTACACGCACCATTAAGCCCCAGCTTAAAATGTTCCCAAACAATTTGGGACATTGTTTGATAAATCACGGCCGCAGGGGCCGCTCTCCCGCGTGCCTCCAGCCGGGCTTCGCGCTCAGCACCCTACGGCAGCCACTCTGTGGAGCGTTCCGCATTCGAGGGCACCGCCGACGTTATATAGCTGTCGCTCAATCGCTCGGAATGGCAGATATGCGGGTGCGAGAAGAGAGGTCCGCGCCACGCGAGAGCCGACCTGTCGGAACTCCTTATTCACGCCAGACGAGAGCCGCGCTCCGTCCACACTCCGGATACACTAAATTAACCCGCTCGGCAAAAGCGCGCCTGCTTTCAATTTACAACCTCGTAAAGCGATATCCTTGTGTATCCATCACGGGCCGAGCTCGCGCGTGGCGACTTTGTGCCATCAGTGCCTAATGAAGGTTCTCGCAGAGTTTACGACATTCCTGGCACTTTCCTAAAATTTCCTGTACGCGCGCCGTGCAGCCGCATTGCGTGCGTGCGAGTCGGTTTCGGAGACGGGCTGCGGACGACTTTCACCGCTTTGCTTTCAACCGCGTTCCACGCGAGCCGCGCCACACAGGGCCACGCGGCAACGCCGCCGCCCTCTCCCATCTTCCGCCGGCAGCGGCGTTTCGGACATTCGTGAGGAGGCCACCGCTGCAGCCGTCCGCCGGCTCTCTGGCCAACCTCCGCATGCGCTCGTGAACGTGACAGGCCAAACTCACGATCTGACGAAATCCAGAGAACGAAGGAGGCACAACTGTTCACGGGCAAGCACTCAGTTGTCGTGAATCGCATTCAACTGACATCCGTGTTTTACCGCCCGTCGCTGAACTTCGTCGATTCGAATGCAGCGGCCACCCTGGTTGTTAACCATAAAACACACGCCGCCTGCTTCACGGCGGACGTTAAAGATCCCCCCCCGACGTAATTCGGAGCGCGTTGGCCGTTGTTCGCCAGCGTCATGGCCAAAATTCGAACAATCTTCACCGCAAATCACAGAATTTGGATCCCGCAAGGCAACACCGCCCCCTCCTGGGCAACCGCTGCGGACTGTGCACGCGCTTGGAATGTTGCGCCCTCCCGCGCGATAGCCTTGCGCTATAAGAATGGCGTGAATAATAAAAGAACCACACGTTTATAAGTGATGATCAATAGCTATTAACATTATTGTTGTTGTGATTTTCCAGACGGTGCCGAGGGGCCTGTGCGACGCCTGTACCGCCGCACGGCTTTCCGCAGCGAGATCGGCGTTCTGCTCCGTAGCGTTGCCAACCTCACCGGCATGGCTCTCTCTGACGGGTGAGAGCGCCCCCCCCCTCCCCACTCCAACTCAATGCTGACGTTAGAACATCGCACAAGGCACTCATTTGAGTCAACTTAGGGGAGGCGCAGCATACTCTCAGCATACTCTCACGATGTTTTAGACAGCACGTTTCATAAGGGCCCACACTACTGAACTACTGCGCTACCACTCTTGCCCCTGTCGCCAACACAAAGACAAAGTTGCCTCGATTGACATAGACTTTTGGGGGCAAGTGCTGTTATACGTGTGTACGTTGAACGTCTTTCGCACGGTACATAGCCAGCCGTGCTAATCGGAGATGCGGGGGAAGGACAACAAACTACACACAAAAAGCAGTTCTGAAGAAATTATCTTTCAATCTCTTAGCGAGTGTGGCCCAGCCACCTCTGTCTCTCCAGTTGCCGATGTTTACCCGTCACCCCAGGTTCCCTTGGGAAGACACGTGATCGATTCAGGCGACAATCGGCACCGATGTTGACCGTGGCCGGTAATTGAACTCGGGTCGTTGGGTTCATGGCACAGTGCTCTGACCACTCCACAGCGACTCCACCCTGCGCCACCTCCCACAGCTCCGAGGATCATCGCAGCCTGAATGCCTGGGGGGGGTTCTGAATGGGGTCATATCAGGGCTAGGGGTCTCATGAATGGGAGACTTGGCAAGGCACCACATTACCCAATGAACTGTACACTCGTTTGCTGCCTGCAAATGTTCACGATTGCCGTAATGTACGTTGAATAGCCCACGCTGCGCTCATGCTGCACAAGGGCGACCTGCCATGCTGAGTTGCGTATGGTTAATTAAAGGGCTTTGATTGCTGCGAGACGCTCGCTTTTTTTGTTTCCAAAATCCAGGGCCTCCTCTCCCTGTAAGATAATTTAAACCCCTGTGACAACCGGGTGTGGATGGCGGTCACCCATGAAAGTACCATCCAGACAACCCCGCCTAGCTTCTGAGATCAGATGATATTCGGCGCATTCCGCGTGATTTGGTGGCAGCCACTCATTAAACAGGCAATGGCTCGAGCAATGAAGAAGGCCCTGTGCCCCAAACATCGTCTATTATATATTTTTTTTATTTTAAGGCCAGAGAGTTATTGACGAACGTGTCGAGTTTTTTTTTTGCTCTTTGTGCTTCTGCCCCAACTCCCAATGCAATAACTCAGGAGCCTCAATGGGATATGTATGCAGCACTTGGTTTGAAGACATCAGCGGAAGCCGGAGTGATTTTCTCGCTGCGAGCATTAATATGCGCCGTCCATGCCGCTGTATCCAGGCAGCGAGCACTGGACCATTTGCAACCGCGAACGCCGCTCCTTAGCTACACTAAATCAAGCGTGCGGCGCACGCAGCCGACCCCCAGCACAATCGGCGGGGCCTTCGCTCGTGAACGTGCGGCGGGCGCGTGCGAGCGCCGGGGCACGGCGGGGAAACGCATTTACATTCGCAGCGAAGCGCGGGGACGCCGAGCGGGACACCGGGGCAAATGGCTCGAGTGCAGAGATTGCTCCCCTAGCGCTGCTTTGATACGCGAGCACTGGGGTTGCTTTTGTTTTCTTTGTCAACACACTTTGCTCTCAATTTTATTGAAAGTTGCTCGCCTTGGGCGCGGCGCAAACAAACGTTATGGTTTTTGGCGGCGGCACACCGAGCCGGTAGCGCCTTTGCTGCCCGTTGCAGAGATTCCACGGTTGGAATCCAGCGGCCACCCTGGTTAATACCGCAGTGGTATTAATATAAAATACTGTAATCTAGGGATTATTTTAGGTGCACTTTTTCCCCCTGTATTTCAAAGAAAATGTTGGAGGGGTGGCGTAATATATTCTGGTAGCTGTGTTTGTGTGTAACTGACGCAAGTTTGGGTTGCGTCTTACTGTACAGAGCGTCTTATAGTCCGAAGAACACGGTTCATGCCACCTGCGTCACAAGGGATGCTAAAGATCCCGTGATCCTATTCGGGAGCGAGTAGGCCATGTGTGCCAGCGTCATGATCCAGTTGGCCAAATTAGAAAAAAAAATTGTCTGAGACCACATGCTGCTGGCAGACCGTGCCCATCTGTGACAGATAGTGTGTTCATGATCGCATAGTCTTATAAGATGTGTAAAATAAATAAACAGCCTTCAAAAAAAGTACTTTAAAAAAGTGCTTTTAGTCGTGGGTGGCATGGATACTCTGAGTTATAATTCCAGCTTATTGCAACCAGATATCTGGGCAGTGTGGGCCACGTGGCCCTATTTGTAAAGGTCAGACTATTTCAACCAAATTGCTTGTGCAGACTTTTTCCAGAATTGTTCAAAGGTCACTCAGGCCCACAGGCAGTGCGCGATGACGGCCGTGGGTGTTGCTCAAACGCTTCGACATAATTTTGCCCTCTGACCTAATGCCACTCTACCGCTCATTTACTTGCATATCATTAGCCGCAGATTTTACCCTCTCATGCATCCTCCCTGGTTGACTGCTACGATTTCTCAAATTACTGTTAAATTATGGAAGCATTTTCAGCACATGTGAGGTCTCCCGTTAACTCCTAAAACCGCATTAAACCAAAAAACATGAATAAAATATTGGTTTGGCTTTCCATAATTCACGCATGAGAGGCTTAAAATTCTTCCACGTATATTTTTTTTCCCAAAGCCATTTTCCTTCTCGCACATGGCGGACGAGGGCCTCTGCACGTGGGTCTTGCGCGTTATTTGACCATACTCCACCACGCTGGTCTGTTGCGGGTTGGTGAAGGCGTGGGGCATTGACGTGGTGGGCACAGAGGGGCAGCACCATGTAGCCTCACGACCTATAACACCCGCGACGCATGGTTGGTCTCCTATCAAAGCACTTTCAAGGCTCGACTCCCGCTTTAGCTTCCAAGCTCTTTGACGATTCCCGGCGCATTCCGAGCGAGCTGATTTGTTCAAGGGGCACGGATGGACCTTCGTGCGCATTCACGAACATTCACTTGCGTTTCATTGAACGCGGCCGTGCGTCCTGCTGGGCCGTCGGCTTGTGCCGGGGCAGGAAATGACTGAGGCGACGCTTGTTTGGCTTCGTAGATACCTGCTGCACCCACAGCCTATGTTTGGTTGTGTGCGCTCCGATGACGCCTTCAGCAACAATAACAACAACAAAAAGCCGCTCTTAAAAACAAGCCTCGGCTCCAAATCTGTGTTGCACGTGACCCGGTCTCCCACTCCTCCAAGATTCTCTCTGCGACCAATTACATTAAACCCTCCGACGTGTTTTCCGACGTTTCTATCTACGTGCTGGAAGCTACCCCCGAATCTGAATTAAGTTGCTCCCTCCATCATAGAGTGCTTCCATTTGCTGCTACTGCTGGTTCTTGATGCTCAATTAATTTTCTGAAGAATCTCGCGGCTAAATAAGAAACGGTACAACCATTGGAGAGCGATCCGGCACTCACCAATTCACATTGGAGAGTGATCCGGCACTCACCAATTCACACTGGAGAGCGATCTGGCACTCACCAATTCACATTGGCACTGATTGTTGCAACTCATCCACTCTGTGTTCAACCACCGCACTGCTCAACTTTGGAAATTCCCTCCCATCGCCTCCCCTACAAAGTTCTTGAATGTTTTACAGCGCTGCAGCATGTTGCTGGGCCGCTTCACGTCCTCAGCCTTTGTGCCAGTGCTCAGCAATCGCGATTTGAACGAAAGAAAATATGACATGGCCGCAAAAAACCCGCGCAGTGCGCACGGAATCAGGCGCCCTCAATACTCAATCCCATCGTTTGGGAGGATGCCAGGAGAGCCATAAGTTGACTGAAGAAATATGATGAGCTGTGAAGCTCTTTTTCACAGTTGTCCAGTAGGGTTGGGTCAGCAAGTTTCATAAAAACAAAACAACAAGCCAAGACCACACCAACACGATGCCGTCTTTCGATTACATTTCGCTTCATAATTGAATTATCCACACCATGGGTAAGGCTCAGGGTTCAAATCGCAAATGTGGCTGCTGTATCAGGCCCTATTCTTATGTTTAAAAATATTTTTTGTAAGGGGAGAAACAAGGTTGTTCCTAAACGTTGGGGCTGCAACGGCAAAATCCGGAGCGCAATGGCACGTGGAGATCATCTGATATGCACATGAAGCAAGGGGCAGTAATGATCATCACTGCAGGGCAGACAAAGGCTACACTTGATCACGTTCTGAGCAGTGGGCAGACTTTTAAAAACGGTTCCGTGCCACAATGGGCGATTCAACAAGCGTGGCGGCATGTCGGTTTGTGATTTTTTTTTTATTCCCTCGCCAAATTCCTCCATCATCTTGTCCGGCATCATACAAACAGCGCTGACCATTCTTAATGGCAAGGATGTAAACTCTGGGCACACTCTCTCTCAATCAGTGCCCTCCGATTACCCTCTTGTGTTTTATTATTATTATTTATGATTGTACCTGGAATTCAAGGAAAGCCCTGGGGTGCGTTGCCCAACCAGCGACGCAGTCATGAACCACCGTGTGAGCGGTTGGCATCGCAGACTCAACTAGAGGCATTGAAGTGATCTGCCGCACATCAGCTGAAGCTATTTGCCAGCTAACAAGCGTCTAGACAGATTCATCAGGTTGATAACCATTCAGCGGAGTGCTGCCCAGGTCGCTGGGTAGATTCCGTCTTCCGCCACGGCAGTTGAGACGATGGTGCAAGCCTCCCAACTCCCACCCTCCTCCCCCGCCTCAGTCCCCCCCACTGCATAAATGGCCACACATTTATACACATGGTGGGGTTGAGTGTGGATACTCTCACCTCTTCCAAGAAGTAGGCCACGTTTCTGAAGGAGGGGCTTTCTAGAGCTGCCTCCGATGGAATTTATTTCGTAAGCAGTGGCAAAAACTCGCAGGGCCGCGCCTTGAGCGAATCGTCTAGCCGTGCGCGAGAAGACTGTGCGAGAAGCGCTGGGACGCTGCAGCGACGCTCGTCCTGGCCTGTCGGGGCCCCCCAGAGGAGCTCGGAGGCCACGTGAGGCCCCTCGCCCCACCATCC